GCAGCGCAATACCGAGTTTCCAGGCCAAGCGACCAGCAGCTTTCACTGAAGCTGGGCCCCCTCCACCCCCCATCGCCTTCAGCCTGATATCGACCGTCCCTTCAAAAGGTCAGCTAACCCACACTTACACCCACACGGGCCGTCTTCCTAGGTAACTGAGCTTGTCCCGTCTGTTAGTGAGTGACTCGCTTGACGGCGGAGTGCTTGTTCCCAAAGAAGCATCGAAAGACACCGTCCGATTTACAAGAGCAGAAACACACTTCAAGTGTTGCATGATCTCTCATTTTCGAGGAAAGGGCTAACGCGATATCGATCTCTTAGGAAGCGAAGAGTGCAAGAGCCTTGTGCCACGACTCTTGATTTCTTTCATAATTTCTTCCTTTTTTCGAAGGGGAATATCCGGACAATTTACATTACCCCTGTCACGTCGTCGGGTGCAACAGACTTGAAGCCGTGCCACTGACTCGTCTGCGTAACCAACTCCGTCGTTGCCCCGGCTTCTCGGCATAAAAGTACCCTGCTATCAGCCGGAACGACCTTCATACGCCAAGGGACACACGAGCAGAGAATCAATCAGCCAAGCGTAATCTAAATCAACGTGCAGCACGTCGATATTGACGATTACCCAAAACAATCGCGAGCTAGCGAAGGAAAAGTCGCAACATCAGTGTTTGGCCGGCTTGGCCCAAGCCGAGACTTCCTTTCCCTCCCGAAACCCGCAATCTATTACTCAGTACCTCGCCATGGTGCCGGTTCACAAGGGCGTCCCACCCGAAGGGGAAGGGAATGCCCACGTCACAACCTCATATCTACTCGCCAACCTCCACTGTCCTTCCTGTGTTTCCTCTATTAAAGATGTCTTGCACGAGACATGTGACCCCGACATCTTCTGGGTCTCCCCCAACATCGTAACGTCGGTAGTCACCGTCGAACACAAGCCAACCGCCAGGGCGAGTGTAACCAACATGACACGCGCCCTTGAGGACGTCGGCTTCGAGATCGAGGCCATCACCACTACCGCTCTCATCGACGGAGAAACTCAACGTCGTCTCTTGAACAACCCTGCGGGGCAAGGTAGCTCCAGCTCGGCCGAGTCTGCTCACGACCTGGAGGAAGGAAGGGGAGGAATCATGGACGGATGGCTGTGGAATCGTGGCGCAGGGAGGCTATCGGTTCATGCTCGTGCTGTAAAGGACCGCGCCCATTTGCAAAACTGCGAGCAATGCCGTCGAGAGGGCCAGCCATGTGGCAAGGAAGAGGATGGACTACTCCGTCCAAGCTCAGCGCTAAAGAAGGAGACGGAGACTGGAAGCTCAAACATCATATCAACACCGACATCCGCGAGACCATCCATTTCTGAGCTGGAGAGTGCAGCCCACGAGGGACCTCTGTGGAGAGCTACCTTTGCCGTTGGGGGCATGACCTGCGCTGTCTGTGTTAATGCAATCACGGAGGAGCTCAAGAAGCTACCCTGGATATCCAAAGTCGTGGTCAATCTCGTATCCAATAGTGCCACTGTCGACTTTACGGAAGAAGGAAGAGCTGCCGACATTGCGGAAAGCATCGAGGACCTAGGTTACGAAGCAACGTTGGACCAAGTCGTCAGTCTGGACAAGCAGAAAACGGAGATTTCGAACGAGAGGACCGTCGAAATCATGGTCGACGGCCTGTTCTGCCAGCACTGTCCCGATCGTCTGTCACACTCCCTCGATGGATTCCAGCGCAAGCTCAAAATAATAACCCCTGCAACTCTCCAATCTCCCATCATCAAGCTCAGCTACGTCCCAGATGCCCCCATCTTTACCATCCGCCATATTCTCTCTGCTATAGAAGCTGCCGACCCATCGTTCAAGGCTTCAATTTACCACCCTCCCACTTTAGAGGAACGTTCCAAAGTCATCCGCAGGAGACACCAGCTGCAGCTCATTCGACGACTCATTATCACATTTCTCGTTGCCATCCCGACATTCGTCATCGGAATCGTCTACATGAGCCTCGTGCCGAGCGATAATGCGGTGAGGCACTACTTGATGGAGCCGTGGACATCGGGCCTTTCACGTACACAGGTCTCCCTGTGCATCCTTGCTACCGTAACCTACTTCTTTGGCGCCGACATATTCCACGTCAGGTCCTACAAGGAAGTGAGGGCAATGTGGAAGCGAGGCAGCAGAACTCCCATGATCAAGAGGTTTACTACATTCGGAAGCATGAACATGCTCATCAGTCTGGGTACTACGGTGGCCTATTTTTCGTCTGTCATCCAGATGATTTACGCTGCCGCCAGCCGACCCGATCATTTCAAAGACAAGGATGTGTACTTCGACACCGTTGTCTTCCTGACGCTATTTATTCTTGCTGGTCGGTTGATCGAATCCTACAGCAAGTCCAGGACTGGGGATGCCGTCGATATGCTGCGCAAGTTGAAGCCTAATACTGCGGTCCTAGTTGAGAAGGATAAAGAGATGGAGCACGATACTACCGTCGATGTTGACAAGCTAGAAATCGGCGACTTTGTGAGGGTGCCTAATGGTGCTTCTCCGCCAGGAGATGGCGTCGTGGTCAAAGGCGACACCAAGTTTGACGAGTCGAGCCTTACCGGCGAAGCTCATCTCGTAGCCAAGGCTCTCGGCGACGAGGTCTTCGCGGGAACGGTCAACAAGCAAAGCCCGATCATGATTCGCATCACGGGCGTAGGTGGTACCTCGATGCTCGACCAGATCGTCAACATCGTGCAGGAGGGCCAAACGAAGCGGGCGCCCATGGAGCAGATCGCCGACACAATGACGTCGTATTTTGTGCCGGTCATTACCTTTTTCGCCATCATCACCTGGGTGATCTGGATCGTTGTGGGATATGCCGGCGCCGTGCCCGACGACGTCGACGCCAATGAAAGCTGGGTCGCGTTCGCCTTGCAGTTCGCCATCGCCGTCTTCGTGGTCGCATGCCCGTGTGGATTGGCACTCGCTGCGCCGACGGCCATTTTTGTTGGTGGAGGACTTGCCGCGAGGAACGGTATTCTGGTTAAGGGCGGCGGCGAGGCGTTCGAAAAGGCCAGCAAGGTTGACTGTGTAGTCTTCGACAAGACGGGTACTCTAACGCGGGGCGGCGAGCCAAAAATCACGGATGCCGTGGTATATCCCGATGTCGAAAATGTCAACGATGACGAGGCGCTCCAGCTGCTTGCTGCTCTCAAGGCGGTGGAAGACAACAGCAGCCACCCGATCGCCAAGGCGATTTCGGCGTACTGCGCGTCGCGGAGCACGGAGAAAGTCGTCGTTGACAACCTCGAAGAGGTTCCCGGAAAGGGCATGAAGGCTAGCTACCATATGGGCGACGCCGAAAAGTCATGGAGCATGCTCGTCGGAAACGAAGGCCTGCTACGCGGGTTTGACGTCGCCATCTCCGACAAGGTTGGCGCGCTGCTGAAGAAGTGGAGCAACGAAGCTAAGTCCATCGCTCTCGTGGCTACTAAGCAACCCGGTGACGACTCGGCGTGGAGGGTCGGAGCGGCACTTTCAATCTCGGATCACATCCGACCTGAGGCGGTGCCTATCATCAAAATGCTTCAGGAGAGCGGGAAGCAGGCGTGGATGCTTTCGGGCGACAACGCGCTCACGGCCAAGGCGGTGGCGCGCCTTGTAGGTATCCCCGAATCTAATGTCATCGCCGGCGTGCTCCCTTCGGAAAAGGCCGACAAGATTACGCATCTACAAAAGACGCTCCAGCACCTCGCGGGGAACAAGAAGAGCAACAAGAATAACAGCGACGAGGAGTCGGCGACCAACCACGCACTCGTAGCAATGGTAGGCGACGGCATCAACGACTCCCCAGCCCTGACAATGGCAGACGTCGGCATCGCCATCGGCAGCGGCAGCGACATCGCCATCTCATCCGCGGACTTTGTTCTCGTCAAGTCGGACCTCCGCGCGGTCGTCACGCTCCTGGACCTCAGCCGGGCCGTGTTTCGGCGCATCATGTTCAACTTTGGCTGGGCGTGCGTGTTCAACCTGTGCGCCGTTCCTGTGGCTGCCGGCGTGCTCTTCCCGATCAAGACGGGTGGCGGGGATCGCGTCAAGCTGGACCCCGTGTGGGCGTCGCTCGCGATGGCGTTGAGTAGTATCAGTGTTGTGTTGAGTAGTTTGGCGCTGAGGTGGAGGGTTCCGGTGCTTGGGTTTAGAGCGAGGAAGATGAAGGCTGTGGCGGAGGAGGTGGAGAGTGTTTAGGGGAGGTGTGTTGATGGTGGATTGAGAGAGTATTATTGGATTTTGATGAGGATGTACGGCATGAACGGGAGAGTCTAGTGGTGACCGACAAGGAAATACCCCCGCTGCATTTTATTATCGTTTTATTTTTTTCCCTCTTCTTGTTCTGTCTACTGTTTAATAAATCTACGAATAATACAAGAAGCCCAGAAATATACCCTTTGTAGATGTTTAGATGCGATGTGCGTCTAATGCAGGAGGACCACCTGAGATAGTGAGATTGTTGTTGAGGGTTCAATGTACCAGTTTGAGGATGGTGGAAGTGCAGCTGTGCAAGTGCCGACGACGTGGATCCAGAACAGTCGGAAATGTTTATTAAGCAATCCGCTCTCAAGTGCCGCGCTGTCACGAACAGCGCAACTCGGAGGCGTGCCGTTGAGCCTCGGCAACATTTTAGCAGCACCTTGCATCAATGCATTCCTCGATTTGGGGCGCAGGACGAATAAAGGGCAGTGGAGACGCGCGGGAGGAGCATTGATGAACCTATTGGAACCACTTCTCTTAAATCCGGGGAACCCAGCAAGCTCAGGCGCATCGCTGTTGTAATCTATTTCTTTTCGCATTCTTCTTTTGTACCAATTGATACCTTTTCACTTCTACAAGTCGAGATTAGGAGAGATATTCTTGTACCTTGACATCGTGTGCGAGTTCGGAACAGCAAAGCCCGCTGCTCCAGGTGAGACAGGACACAGCACGGTCTCGGACAACCTCTACTACAACACCCTCCTCCCAGCAAACATGTCGTCTCCCTTCATCGTCAAGGAGCACAAGGTGCCCGGCCAGCATATCCGCGAATACCCCCACGCGCTGGCCAACTCCCAGAATGACGTGCTGTACCTGGCCGTGAAGGAGTATATTCCCAGGGATAACCAGAATCCTCAGCCGGGCGATGTGACGATTCTGGGTGCGCATGCAAATGGGTTTCCCAAGGTGAGTGAGCAAGAATTTAGAGGGGGATGAAATGCCTTTTGTAGTGAAGCCTCGGCTCTTTTTCGCTATTGAGATGTGGGGGACTCGGTGTTATATGGGAGTACTTGAAGCTAACTATCGTGGAAACCAGGAATTGTATGAGCCGCTTTGGGAGGATCTGTACCGCGAGTCAAAGAGCCATGGATTCCGGATACGGAGCATCATCATTGCTGATGCGGCGTGGCAAGGCCAGTCCGGCATCATGAACGCGGACGTCGTCGGCAACGATCGTAAGTTGACCATCCCCTATCTTCAGAATCTCTTTTTCTCTTCGCCCTCTAATCCTCTTACTCTCACCCTCACTGTCATCTCACTCGCTCTCACTCACTCATCCCCAACCCACACTTCACCCAAGGCTAACTCCCTCCACAGCAAGCTGGCTCGACTACACCCGCGACATCCTCCAAGTAGTCAACCACCTCCGTCCCCCAACCCCCATAATCGGCGTCGCCCACTCCTTCGGCGGCGCCGCCATCACCAACCTCGCCCACTTCAACCCGCGCCTCCTCACCTCCCTCATCCTCCTCGACCCCGTCATCTCCCCCTACGCCTCCACCCCGGGCTCCCTCGAGTCCAGCCCCGCCGCCCACTCCCTCCGCCGCCGCGAAACGTGGCCCTCGCGCGAGGAGGCGGCCAAATCTTTCGCCAAGTCGCCGTTTTACAAGTCTTGGGATCCGCGGGTGCTGAACGCCTGGGTCACGCACGGACTCACAGACGTCGACTCGAGCGGGGCGAGCAAAGAAGTGACCCTCACCACGACGAAGCACCAAGAGGTCTTTACGTTTTTGAGACCCACGTGGAAGGCCTTTGATGAACGTGGCGAACGGCTCGTGGATAAGACGCTCGCCCCCGATCTCGATCTGGAGAATAATTTCCCCGTCTACCCCTTCTGCAGACCCGAGCCCTCCCTCACCCTCTCCCGCATGCGCAACATCCGCCCCTCCGTCTTCTACGTCCTCGGCGAAAAATCAAACCTCTCCCACCCTCCCTCCATCGCCTCCCGTCTCCGCCAGACCGGCGCCGGAACCGGAGGAAGCGGCGGGATCCAGTTCGGTCGCGTGAAGCAGGTCATGCTTCCTGGCTTGGGGCATCTCGTCGCTATGGAGGCGCCGGGGGAGTGTGCGCGGCTTGGGGCGGAGTGGATTGAGAAGGAGGTGACGAGGTGGAGGGAGGGGGAGGCGAGAGAGTTTGAGGAGTGGAGGGGAAAGAGGAAGGAGGAGAAGACGATGTTGACGGAGGAGTGGGCGAAGTATCTTAAGGTTCAGCAGAGGGCGCCCAAGGCTAAGATCTGAGAAGAGGAGGAAAAGAGAGAAGAATTAATTTCGTTTCATGTTTTTGGTAGCTGAGATTTCACAAGTAGGCCGATTAGGCCACCATGTATTTCAAAGTCTAACATAGAGATATAGACGATATACTTGAATCTAGAAAAATGTTCTAAATATTCTTTTCTTGATCATGTGCTACCTCCTTATCTACATTCATTATGCATATTCCCAGCGAAGACCTCCTTCTCTCTTCTACACAGATCAAGCCTCGCTTGCGTCCTCACTCGCGTCTTCATCCTCATCATCCCCAGGTATCCACACCAACAAGCCATCCTTATCAGCCTTCATTCCCTCCGTCGGAATAACCCTCAACACCTTCTGGAAATACTTATCCCTCACCACCAAGCCGGGTCTCACAAAGTCGTCCCTCACAAGCGGCAGCAGGCGATACGTAGCCGTGCGCCTCGACACGGGAAGCACATGAACGGTCGTCTTCTTGGCGCCCGAAAACGCAAATTCGTCGCTCGGCTCCATCGTCAGTCCGAATGTCAGGAAGTGGCTCGACGGGTTCTCGATCGTCACGTCAAGGTTGACGAGGCCGTCTATGTCCGAGGCGACCTGCGAGGAGGATAGGCGCGGCTCCGAGAGGGATGCGAGAACGCGTGGTTCGGTGCTTAGCACGGTGTGAGGCGGGACGGGCATGGTGGTGATGTTGACGGTCGAGCTGCTGGGCCGCTTCCACTTGATGATGAAGGCTGCTTCTACGCGGGCGGGAGCGCGGTCTTCGAGACTGAGCTTTTGCGCGATGATGTCGAACTCGACGTCCTGCATCACACGTGGTTGGACAGCCAGTCCATCGTCCGGTATCGGCAAAGGCCTTCCCCTGGTCGTGCACCGCGTCCCGGGGCTGCAGGAGACGATTTGGGCGTCGAGGCCGACAACGCGCAACTCTTCCGTTGCAAAAGAGGCGTAGTGGCACATGAGGCACCACCTCTGCGCCAGTCCAAGTGCCGGCCTTACAGACTCGTCTTTGTCGTCGTCGGATAGGTCCTGGATCGTATCCGGATCGAAAAGGCTCGGCCACGGGTCCTTGTGCAGCCGTGGTACCATCTCATAATTAGCCTCGAATGGACTGACAATCGCGATGGTGAAGGACTCCTTTTGTAAAATGCGAGTTCCTGGGTCAGAAGCAAGGTGATATGAGACCCTCAAGTTGAATTCCAAAGATGCTGGTTGAGGTGCCTCGTCGAGATGAACTTGGACCCCGACCTTGCCAGAACTCTCAATCGTGCCAAGACTCACACCCGCAAGCTTCGATGCTTCTTCGTTAGCGGGAGACACGATCTCGGGCAACTCTAGCACCTTGACCTTGGCCCCAGGCACCTGGTCTCCAAAGGCATGGATGTCGAGTTTCGCAATGGCGTCTTCATCTTCAGCGTTCACCAACTCAAACTCGAGGGTGATTGCCTCGTTGGCATAATACTGCTCGAGACTGTTGAGGAGCTTGATCTCCAGCTTGGGTGGCCGGGGCTGGACTTGGATCGTTTGCGCCTCTGACCTGCCGATTATCCTCCGGAAGCCTGACGGCTCCACCCAAGTGATCCCTAGGCTTGACTCCGGGAATGACACGGTATAATCGAGTTTGAAGGTCTCGCAATCAACGGAGACTGTGACAGAGGAAGCACGAGCTTCACCTGGCTCGCGGAGGGGAATCGCTAATTCATAAACCCTGCACTGTCCAGGGGCTAATGTTAGAGCCGCAGTGCCGGAAAATATTGTTGGCTCCTCAGAATCCTCGTCGTCATCGTCTTCCGTCAGAGTCTCGTTATCTTGTTCCCTAAGCGTAATCTTTGATATCACCGTGTTTCCCTTAACCGTGTTGCTCTCGGGCGATTCGGGATCATGTGTGAGAAGTATGTCCCTTAAACTTCCCTCAAACTCGACCTTTAGTGATGATACCGACACGGGCACCGAGTCGGGGAACGCGTCTGATGTGATGATGAGCTGTGCAGAAGATACGTCTCCAGCCTTGCCTTCGCCTGACCTAAAGGCAAATGAGGCAGAGAGGAAGGACGAGATTTCATCGTCTGATAGGCTGGCAGATGGTTTAGAAGTAAGGGGAACACCCTCGAGAGACTTTGATAGGTCGTAATTCCAGTTCTTGCGCCTCGTGAACCCTAAAATCACACGTTAGCAACCCCTCCAAGTAAAATCGACAGCCTTTTACTCGATAAGACTCACTCCTATGAAAGAGCTCCCAATCAATGGCGAGAACCAAGTCTCCCAAACCCTTCTGGGCAGCAGCCGCCCTGAGCGTCCAGTTCACATCTTCAACGATATCCGTCCACCCCTCTCTTCTGAACGGCATATCTTCCCAAACCGGCCGCAGCAGCGCAATCACGTCTTCCCACTGTTCGAGTTTCGCCGATTCCCTCGCACACTCGAGGGAAACCTCCGCGACCAAACGATGTTGCCCGCGAGCGTGGAACTGGGTTCTCGCAGCCATGAGGCAGTCGATTATCAGCCGGGAATAGTCCACGCCCGGTTTGTCCAGGGGGAACTCGAGGTAAGGTTCAGGGCACATGTAGGTGTCGTAGGTATATCCAGCGTTGGTGGAAGCGGCAGCTGCAGAGCTTTCCGGGGGTTGGCGATCCTCTTCCGGCATGGAATATGCCAAGGCTCGCCGCGCGGCGGTGTGCCATGCTGCCTGCCGGTACCAATAGCCGGTGTGATGCATCAACTCCCAGGGGTAGAGCCTCTCTCGAGGGAGGCCCTTCTCCGGCGGGAGATAGAGAAGACCAGTCGAAGGATGAAGCCCGGGAATGTCCATTCTCTCAATGAGATTCGCCATCACAAGAGACCAACGAGTTTCCCAGGCCTTCCAACCGTAGTTATTAGTCCCCCGACCACGTTGGTCAATGAACTCACCAATTCGGTCACGGTGCGCCTGCCACCTCGAAACTGCCATGGAAGTTTGTTCGTTCCAAAGGAAACAACGTAATACACGGATGGCAATGATATCCGAGAGGAGCCGAGCTTCGTTCCACCGAGGGCTCCAGCTGGGTATCAAGTCCCAGACTTCCTCACTAAGGAGTTCATCATAGGCCTGTTCATACGTTCTCATGGCCACATCTATCTCTTGTCTAAACTCTGAAAACACAGCCATCTTGAAGTCGTACCTTACCTGCCATCCGGAAAGAGATAGAGTCTGGGAGGTGCCCGAAGTTGGTGGGATCGTCGGTGGCGGGATGATTCCGCGATTCTTCTTTTTCCTTGCATGTCTGCCGAGGTCACGATAATATTCAAGAGACTGAGGATATAGTGCGGTGAGGATTGTGTCAGCGGCTTCTGTAAGCTCCTCCGATGACTTTCGTGGCGCGATGTAGAAAATGGACTTTCCCGTATCCAGTCCGGTTCCCTTTCGGATATTCTCCAACCGCTCCTGGATACCCTGGGTGACAGATTGCGGCGAGGAGGAAGTGTCACTCATTAACGCGACAGCTAGCCTCGTCTTGTAACCCGACTTTGCTATCTCGGCTTTGATTGCGTTTATATCCGTCTTGAGCTGGTTGTCGAGTAGAGTTGCGCGGCTTTGGTCTGAGGTGAGGGCGTAGAAACACAAGAAGACGCTTGGTACATAATTTTGATGCCTTAAAAGCCAGTCGGGGTTGATGATGCCATCAGGATAAAGGCTCGACGATGGGCTGAGAGGTGAAAGCGGTGAATGTAAGACGATTTCGGATTCGGGCAGCTCTATGTCTTCTGGAAGGACAGCGTGTCTGGGCGGGAGGGTATACGTCTACTCTTTCAGTTAGCATCCAACTAAGTCGGATACGTATGTATCTAGATATGCTTCTCCAGTTACCCTTCCAACGGACTCAACACGATATCTGTAAGGCCTCTTCTTGTCACCTAGGGACCACGGAGGCAATGTCGCATCCACTCCCGCAAGGTAGTCATGAAGAACTTGGGCATTTTCCCCTGTCAGACTAGGTACTTCGGATTTGAGAACCGTCCCTTCAGTCGCGGTATTGGAGCCTCCATAATGGTCATTTGGTGGGGAGTCCAGAAGACCAGAAGCGACCAAAAAGGGAACACTGGGATCCAGGCTTCCTGGAGGGTAGCCGTCCATGATATCGAGTCGAGTCCCCCTCAGGAGAGGTGTTTATGTAGGGAACGGCGTCGCCACGTTCGGAGGTGTAGAACTTAATGTCGATGTGGTTTGTTCTTTCACTAGTTCAGGCAGGCAAACATTAGCAGGAAGAGATACAGCTGGCCCGCCTCCGTGTCGGAGAGCGCCAAACGGGCTTCACGTACTCGTTGAAGCTACATGCCAGGTTAGAACGGGACCGGGCTCGCCAGGTGGGTTTCAGGAAGAAAAACCCTCTAGTTACGGGAATTGCAATTTCGCGAACCGTGGCTCGTCTCCTAGCATCTGCTGCCAGAATATAACTCCAAAGATGCCGCGAATCGTTGTCGATGGGTTCCCGACCTGGAAGCTTCTAATCTACGCAAGGACATAGCGAGTATAGGACTTTATTTCTTTCTCGATCCAACCCCACAAAGTTACTACAGTCACACCACCGTATCGAGTTTGAAGTAATCTAAATAGAGCACAGATTTGCAATAAACCAATTTTGTGTTTATAGTTTCAGCTGTTATCAGCTGCTTCGAATTTCTGACAGCTTTATAGTTTAGATTTTATAGGCATCATGGGCATCGCGGATTTCATGGATGTGGGTTCTCTAAATCGAAATGATGTGTCATCTGTGGACAGCCGTCGACAACTGTCATATGAAATAGATCACCTGATTTCCATGATGCCTGCGAAATCCACATGACATCCGCAACGCCCATAGAAATTCTATTTTCATTTACGAAGGAACGAGGAACTTATATGAAAATTCCACTCATGGATAATTACGTATACTCGTTTTAAAGTGTAGGTACCTAGGTAAACGGGGTTGAATTTAAATAGGTAGGGTGGCCCTAGCACTTTGAGAACAAATAAAGCCTCTCCTCGCTAACCCCCGCCCTTTCCCCACCCCCTCCCCCCAACCAACCGCCCCAACCAACCGCCCCAACCTTTTTCTGCTGGTCCTCCGACACACCGCCGCATTCCTTCTTCTACCAACTGAATTTACTTGACTATCTATGATACTCTCTAACAAGGCTATACTTGAGCCTCCTCGCCCAACTGTGATGAGCCTGTATTAAGTGAATACGACCTTGTCTCCCGGGAGGTGGCATGGTTCCAATCCTCATACGATCATCGGCCAGCTCCCGAATGCCCAACACAGAACCAGCCCACCGATTCAATACAGGGACATTATGTATATATACCTTCTCCTTCAACAAGAGGAGTAACGTCATAAGCGGAGAGACGCCCAGGGCACACGTCGGCAAGACAGATCCACGACACGACAAACCTGCTTCCGACCATTACATCGATCCGACACACTACGTCTGATTAGACGCCTATTTCAGGGGGCTTGGCCATTGAGTCTGGCCTTTGACATGGCTTCAGAGCAGGGGCAATGCCAGGTGAGATCACGAGACTCTCCCTTGGCCTGTGAAGCTTCATTCACTGACCTTGACGCCCGAATAGGCTCTGCGGCGCTCTGATGAGCAGAGATGCCAGAATGAAGCCACACATGCAAATGGCCTCTTCTGCGGGCTCCACTCCAAAGAGGCCTTTAGTCTCTACAAGGGTTACAAACGACGCAATGCCCGGCTGGATTCTCTGGACGACGATGCCCCTAAGTATCTGAAGGACTCTCGAGTTGCCCTCGCCAACGACACATTCGAGACCATCGAGGACAAGAAGACGTTGGATGATATTCAACGTCATCTGCGCAAAAAGTATGTTCTGCTCGGGCAGGTCATCGATGCGCGCAAGCTTCACCACAAACACTTCTACTCTCTCAACATGGACTATGGGCACGAAGCATATCTCAACAAGCTTATCACCCAACGTCACACAGTTTACCTGGCTCTGCGGAGAGTCATCAAGCAAACTGCAAAAGTACTCTACCAAATGGAGCAATGGTATGCTTGGGTTCGCGAAGTCCAAGAAGAGGAGGAAGCTTCTCAGGAGAAGGAGCAGAAGAAGGTCAAGCAGGAAGCTGCCCTGTTCAGGCGTAATGTCAAGGAGTTACAGGCCCGACTGAAGGTCATGCGAGAAAAGGAGGAACAGAAGCGTCAAGATGCCTTCCTCGAGGACGCTTATCGCGAGCGCATGGCCATGTCAGAAGACGAGGACAACGACGAGCTATGGGATCCTATCGACGATGTGGAATACGAAAAGCGGTACCAGTACATCGATCTGATCAAGTACTTCCTCTGGATGGACATCCTGGACGACGAGGAGAGGAGCGATCCAAAGCTCGAGACTAAGACGGAAGAGCTTTCTCTTGCTGATGAGCCTCAGGCTCCCTCCAAGAAACCGAAAAAGAAGAAGGCAAAAGGAGGCTCCCATGCTGCTGCACGCAGCTCTGCGGATACGGCTGTCAAGGGCCAAACCGGCCAGAGGAAGCTCCTGGCAATGCAAGAGAGCGGACAAACCGAGGGGACGGAGTTGCGAGAGCCGGATAAGAAGAACATCGAGACGGAACAGGAGATGAGGAAGCGTCTGAGCCAAGGAGTCAAGAAGAACTACGAGAACTGGTTGAGGGAAGGCCCTGGTATGAGCATCCGGATAGTTGGTACCTTGGAAAACCCTCACGAGACCATGGACAGGACGGCGCCAATGACGGATGACGAGATCGACGAGATAGTCAGGGACGTCAAAGAGATCAAGCTTCTCCTATTCTGCCGCCTGATCCTTGGGCAAGCACCCATACTACCCGCTGCGGTACGAGCCAGCAGCGTCGAGGAGTTCCTCAACGACGCCGAGGTTGCCGAGTCCGACCTACGAGATCTCTGTTTGAAGGTGGTGGAACCTACTCTCCAACAGATACGAGATGCTTGTGCCGATTTCGCCCGTGGAGACCAGGTGGAAGATGACCCGGAAGACGTAACGGACGACGACAATGATGAGACGTTTGAAGAGCTTATCAGCGAAGATAAAAGATACAAGCACCTCCATACCGACGACTGGTTGCTCGAAAAGGTTCTCGACATGGCCGAAAAGACAGACAGGAAGCAGAAGAAGACTAAGGCAAAGCGTCAACGAGTTAAATCTAAGACTCGCCCACGCAAGACAAAGGTCACCATCTGTGGCAAAAGCATCTGGAACCACGCCAGCGAGAAGGCCATATCTCGAGACGGTTGGCTTCAGTTCTCTGTCATCGCAAAGGATTGTGACTTCAAGCATGCCATCCAACTCTGCCGAAATTGGGCCGAGTTCTCAGATCTCAACCTCCTGACCATCTGGCAGTACTTCCCTGCTTCGAACTGGATCTCTTGGGGCTGCAACAGGTTCATTCAGCAACTCCAGGAGCTGGGATTCTACCCCTACTTCATGGACCTCGATGCTCAACAACACAGTCGTCATTTTCAGACAGGCAGCCGAAGCCGAGCCCGGCGTGCGCATGATATTGTCGAGACCAGAAACATCATCGTCGGTCACATGAAACGGAACGATCCTGTGACTCGACGCTTTCTGCAGTATCTCATGATGCGGACCGGGGAGGTCTTGATTATGGTACGAGACGGCAAGACTGGCCGTGTCATCACCGCACCTCCCGAGGAACATCTTTGGACTTATCGCAAAAAGCAAGGCTTTGGGGCGGCTTCCAAGAACGAGTGGCAGAATATTCTGGAGGTGGGACCTGACTACTGTGCCTTGACAGACCGACTCCGACAATGGCGGTTTGGATTTGACGACTATTACGACGTCTTTATCTGGGACTTTGTGCCTGGCCAAACTCCCACCCAAACGTACAACGTCGTCATTACAGTGAGTTTGCGCACCAGATCCCTGTCATTTTATCTGCTGACACGCGCACATAGGAACTTAGATTCGCTTGGCGCATCGCCCATCCACGCGACATGTATGCACACATGGAACCGCTCTTACGAGGCCTGACGAGAGAGAAGGACACGATGCGCACTCGCAAGATTAAGCCAGGCGAGGAGGTCGACAGTCTCTGGGACACGGTGATGGATGAAAGAAACGAGTTCCGGCTCTTCGATATCAAGGAAGATGGTATGAGTTCTCGCTCTGGCTCCGAACTAGCCCAGTCACCGTACCTGTTCTACAACGAGGCCAACGCTGCTGAGGACCAGGTCCTGTTTCCGGATGAGCTGACCTCTAAAAAACGGAGCGTGCCTTTCCGAGAGATCAGGAACGGCGTCAGCCGCATCACGGATGGCATCACGCCCAGCACTACCCTTCATCTCGCCAAAGGTGTCGAGGCAATCATGCAGGGCAAAGACCCTGTGAAGGCTCTTGATGCTTTAAGCGACCAAATTGAAGACAGCATCTGGGCCATGCCGACGGTATGGACGACCGCGATGAACCAGGTCCGTCAAGAGAAACCTTCAGGAGAACAACTTGAGCTCCTCAAGCGTACCGGGCTGTATGCCACACATAAGAGTGTATCGTTCAGCCATCGACTTGAAACCGCAGACCAGATGGAGGTCATGGAACGAGACAGATCTTTTGGTGAGTAACTCAGTTGTTTGACGCGACAGGTCCTCCGAGCAGCGATGCTGATGGACACTACTAGAATTCAAGAAGACTTTTCACGCTGGCGACCTCGAACAGGGAGCCAACCAGAACTTTCAAGATGTCCAAGACAAGATCGCCACCATGCTCAAAACCGTCCACATGGGTCCGACTGACTGGGTCTTCTTTCTCGCCGAGATTCTCGACTGGCTTGAGCTGCGAGGAGACTACGACGACTATGTTCAGGACCCCGCTTACCCATGGCCACACAGCTTCATCGTCCAGGACTTGGTCCGGGCATTCGCGGCCGTAGCCATGTTCTTCCCGGAGCCAGACGCCGCCAAACAAATCACCATGTTCCTGAACTCGAAGCAGTGCGAGGACTTCAAGAACTCCCTCCTTTTTGACCCCAAGGAACGAAGTAAGACACGACCTGATCGAAGGACCCGAACCAGTTACAAATTTCGTGACAAAAAGTTCTGGAATGAGTGGAATGACTTCTTGAAGACCAATAGCAAGAGTTATTTCGCCGACGTGTACCCCCTTGATTGGAGTATTGCGATCCGTCCTATTATAGCCCACTGTCAGTCAACCTCCTCAGCTCATCTCATAGCCCGTCGTACTGACATTTCTTAGTGTACCAAGCTGGAGTGATTGCGCCAGCGTACCTAGAGAATGACACCCGAATCATCGCAGGAATGGCCACGGCCAAGGCAGAGCCTCATCGTCCCGACAAATTGGATTTGTTCATTAACTACGAAGACCGCCATGGCAACTTTCCAATGCAGTACCCGCCCTCATTTGTGGCCCCCGACAAATGGATACAACTGCTGCCTCTGATCCAAAAGTTCGCCGACAGGCATCCCAATGCTCGCTTCGCCCTCCTGCGGCTCTGGTCGGCACCTCACTACTACCCTCTGATGGTTGGGCTGCACAACCGCCAGTGCACCAGCTTCCTTGACAGCTGCGGCAGGTCATGGGAGTGGAAGTTTGTGCCCAAGGACATGCCGGGCAGCGAGTACAGTGTTCACCACACGACTGGGAAAAGGCTGCAGCTGCTGCTGGGAAAGTTTGGAGACCGTGTGGTGAGCCGTGGTGATTTGATTCTCGTCATGGGAGAGGATGCAGAAGATTTGTTAAAACACTGCACGGCTGTTACGTTTGCTATTCAGACAAAGCCGTGGCTGAGGGAGGTCGACTTGTGGAAGAGCTTTATCAATGTCGGTATAGACTTTTTCCAAGACCTAGATCCTTTTTACTTGGAGTAAAAGGATATTAGCAGGTAGATCAGGACCTCTTCTGCACCCCGCCAATAATAGCAACTGGGGCCAAATCTGTGGATTTTTTCTCACCAACACCGTTCCACTAGTTACGGCTGGAGTCAGGCGCGTACAGCTATCACTACGTTCTCCAGTGACGTAATCGCCGATTCCTCATCGCAACTTCGTCCTCAAAATATACCAGGCCCACAAGTGCAGTTTGACGAGTTCGATCATACCAAAAACTAGTGTAGCTTGACTTCTTCTTCTTCTTCTTCTTGAATCGAGCCACCTCAAATCGTTCCGTCAATCGGCCTAACCAGAGCTGTCCCTATCGCCGGTGGATTCAGAAAGTGCGGCAGTAATTCTTGCCATGGACCTTCCCCATCCCCGGCTTGCATGTGCTCCAAGTTAGAAGCATCCGAATCACAACTAATCAGAGAGGTTGTTGAAGATAACATCAATGCCGAACTGTCAATACTAGGGGGAAGTAGAGGGACCCCTGAAGCTTCCTCAACCGTGGCAGCTTATCGCCCAGCCTCCCGACAGTTTGCAATGTAATATATCTTGGAGCATCGGTGGTCGCAAGGAAGTTGTGATGCATCGTTGTGTCAGATCCGGGAAGGAAGCAGAGCGCATGTGATTTGAGGCTTCCACAACGGCGGGTAGAAAGATAGTGAAGCGAATTTCATATGTTAGCTTCCTCAAGCTCTCTTCCTCGAAAGTAAAACATATCTCTTTTAAACTAGTTCACCAACCCTCTTTCACACTTTGGCGGTATGCCTCGCGAATATTGAGCCACCTCTCTTTACTTCGGATTCTGCAACAAATCCTACTCCGACACCTTTCCCTTTCTTCCCAGCCTTCACTGATACCCTTTCATGTATTCGACATCGAATTCTTCCATAATGGACCTTCAGAACCGCTTTGAGAGCTTCTTACGAGTCAATAGAGAAAACGCTGGCTTGATGGCCACACTCGAATCATTCCTTGCCACTCCGGCCCGTGTAGTTATCCCCCCTACCGATTATGTTGATAATAGCGATGAGAGAGTCCAAATATGCCGAGAAATCCAATCCGTTGATAAAGGTCAAGTTCCCATAGACTCCATTATTTGGAGTTTATTCATGACAGCGCCCATCGAGAGGCTTAGGAAACTAAGGGATATGTTTCGAAACCCTACCCAAGGCGACTTCATACACATGGCGACGACTACCGTTTTCTTCTACGCATCCGAAAAGGCGGCGGCATTGCTGAAGATTTGTAAGTTAAATGGCCTGTTCAGCAAATCAACAGCAGCTTCAACAAGTTTCCAGGCTGTATATCTCTAACTATTTAGCGGTAGTTCTAACCGAGGACGCCGACGCAGACCCTCCTCGTCACCCATCAAAGAGTCCGACGGAGGCTGAAAAGGTAAAGAAAGAGATAAAGCAAGAAAAGAAAGAAAAGTATGATCGGAGAATAGCTAATGAGTGTTCCAGTGTCGGGAAAGAGACAGGAAGTGCGTTTTGTCAGGCGCCGCCCGTCCGCACGTCTGTCGTATCTTTCCGTTCATTTTGACCAAACGCTGTACCCACCTTGAAGACACGCTCTGGCCCGTCATTCGAACCTTTTGGGGTAAAGAGTATGCGGACCATATACAGGTCTTTCTTGTACACAACCCTCACATAATCGACTCGGCCCAGAACATGATCTGTCTCAGTCCCTTGCTCCAACAGTGGTGGAGAAAGGCATATTTTGCCCTGGAGCCCTACAAAAAGCTCCCGGATGGTGTCAGGGTACGCTTCCGTTGGCTCAAAAGAACCACGTTCACCGTCAACGACAAGTTGGAGACCCTGGCAATTGATCCTCGTGATTGCCTCGTTTGGCACCAGGAAGAGGGGGTCATCGCTATGAAAGATTTGGTGTCAGGACACCCCCTCTTGGACGGCACCCTGTTCGACCTCACGTCTGATGATCCTCAAAAGCAAGTTTCCTTCGGCCTTCTGCAACTACAGTGGGACATCCTACGTATAGCGGCACTCTCTGGGGCTGTTGAGGCGGTCGAGGACCCGTCTTGGAACCCCGATGATGACGGCTTGTCGGAATGACAACAAGTTGCTGAGCTGTAGCACTGGGAAGCAGAATCCTTTGAGTTCTGAAATGGATTAGGAGTATTTCTCTCGGCATCACGTGTTTGAACCGCTGAATCGCCGCCTTCTCAGAAGACTCCTAGCTACCGATCCATCATCCAACAAGGCTCAGGCCATGGAAAAGAAACTTGATGAGAGCGAAATGCTGACCGAAACCACCGAAGTCGACCTTCTCGCGCCAATGTCGGAAGATAAACTCCGTGACCACAGTCGCACCCGACGCAGTTCTTTACCCCAAAACACATCACGAAGACTTTCCGAGCGAAGAATCCCGAGCCGATTAGGAACACTATGGAGAAGCAACACGCTCAGCGAATGCCGCCGTAGCTGCATACGTTAAAGAGCTGAAGTTAGCGACGCCGACGCGAGAGACGATTGAAAGCCTAGACCACTGGCGGCATGTCGCCCTATTACCACTAGTGGGCCGTACTTGGCATGATCGGCTTTGGCCTCGCCTCTCTTGCGACGAGGAGTCAGGAGAATCCTTTGCCGAGGTTTGTAAATGAAAATAAAGGGAAACTCCCCAGGCTTACGAAGGTACACGAAGGCAGGTTGAGCATGAAGCCATCCCCCGCACGATAGGTTAGACGCAGTTATAGTCGATCTTAGCATCCAGCCAGGTTCTTATAATAAAGGGAATGCGAGATGACCGGCGCAGCTTCTCCATGAAAGTGATGTGTGCTACTCTGATACCTAGTCCTCTTCCGAGACAAATCTGTGGAAGTTGTCGCCTCCAGCCACTCATCCCGGAGGTGACGTGGCCGAGCACGGAGACCGGAAGTCAGGCGGCAACACAAAGAATATTATGAGGCAACTTGGTCCTGTTCCGCCACTTTAATCCAACGGAACGCGATTTGAGTCCTCAACAAGGTTCCAAGGTTCATCGTCTCCCTCCAACGGCACATGGATTCCAAAAACCCAGTCACAAACGTCAACAACCCATTTTCGCGATGACTCCTCCGTCGAGATTTCATCCTTAAACAGCCTTCTATTATCGGCCGCCTCCCAGGTGATCTCCACAATGCGAGCCCGATTCTCCAGAATCGGCTTCTTGTCATCATCCAATTCGGCCTGGATCTTGGCGGCCACGACGGGGATTCCCGTCCAACTCCGTATGAAATGCACCGTGAGAATGCCCGAGTCGTCAGGACCGTCTGTGTAGACGTGCCATTTGTGGTCCATTATCTCGGCCTTGAAGCCCATGATGAGTTTTGGGAGGGATCCTGGGGGCAGCGGGGCGGACCATGGAGATGCGACTGGTTCAACGAACGGCTTCGCAGGAATACGCCGAGGGAAGTCTTCCTTTGTGACGCGTTTTGTTGGCGCATATTGCGTGTAGTGCTCCATTCCCAATGACGAAATGGGAGTTCCAAGAGGATGCTGCCGCGAATGTGAAATGCTGCGCCGAGGAATCAAGTTGCAGAGCACATTCCAGTCAAGCATCAGCCTCCTTGTGGGATGCCTTGATAAATCTCACTCTGCCTCTCCGAGCTCTGTTGGCTCTGTTAGACCTTCCTTTATTCCTCTGTACACCTCGTTGACCGTAGCCCTCGACTCACTGCTGAATGAGGCCGCCGTCTTAAAGTGAAAGAAAAATATCTAAATAGAGCTGCAATATGTTAAAATATCTCTAGATAGGTTACATTTCTAATAATAAAAAATTAGAAATATAATATTATTAATAAATAAATACATATTTACTTAACCAAGTTAAAATCGAGAAATTAATTTCAGCTATAGCTGACGCGAAACATTTATATTTATTCGCCCACGTCCATCATTCACCATAATAAAGAACTGTACTCGTTGGCATCTTCCTGCTCATGTATTCTCTAATCTTCGCGGAAACTGCTCCATGACCTGATGATGTCTTCAAAGCGGAAGGCGTTGTCCGCCGCCCAAGGCGCGACCAAGGCAGCCAGGGCATCTAATGCTTCAACTCCAGGTCCATCAACGCCACGCGACAATGGCGATAACCTCGAGCAAAGCGAACAGCCCAGCGAGATTAGAACAATGATCGCGCGAAACGTTCAAAAGTTTGACATCAGCGCTTTCCCATGCACACTCTCGCCTGGCGTCAGGGACATCGCCTCGGTCTTCTTCCAGTCTGAGCATGGACGAGACTTCACCGCCCTTCGGCTAAAGCCCAACCATAAGAATCTGCCATTGAAAATTGATGGTTCGGGGACTCTGATTCTCGAGACATTCCACCCGCTGGCGCCTCGTGTACAGGACTTCTTGATTACGATAGCCGAGCCGACCTCGCGCCCGACGTCCATCCACGAGTACCGGCTTACAACCCACAGTCTGTATGCAGCCGCCTCTGTCGGCTTGAGTCCGGACGATATCATTAATACACTTGAGCGGTTCTTGAAGACCGAGATGCCACCAAATGTGATTCAATACATTGCCTACCGTGGCAAGAGCTATGGCAAGGTGAAGTTAGTGCTGAGGAATAACAAGTATTTCGTGGAGACCACAGATCCAGCGATCCTGCAGGCACTGCTCAAGGATCCTGTGATAGGTTCATGCCGAGTACAAGGGTCGGAGCAAGTTACGACGAGCGCCCCAAAAATGGCTGGACTTGTCATTGCTGGGACGATGGAGGCTGCTGGCGTGAAGGAGGCCGAGGGACTAGGCGAAGGTAACTTGAACCAGGTCCAGGAACTTCTGAAACAGAACCCCATGGCAGAGGACGATGACGATGACGATGAGGATACCATTCACGCATTTCAGATTGACGATGAAAAAGTCAGTGCAGTTGCTCAGCGGTGTCTGGCACTACACTTCCCTGCACTCGAGGAGTATGATTTTAGGAATGACCATGCAAATCCGGACCTTAAAATAAATCTACGGCCAGAAGCCCAGGTCCGGCCATATCAGGAAAAGAGTCTAAGCAAGATGTTCGGCAACGGCCGTGCAAAGAGCGGCATTATTGTTCTGCTCTGTGGTGCTGGCAAAACTCTAGTTGGCATTACGGCCGCCTGCACGATCAGAAAGGGGGTTGTCGTCCTGGCTACGAGCAACATGTCGGCGATCCAATGGAGAAACGAATTCATAAAATGGTCAAACATTAACCCTGACAATATTGCCATTTTCTCCTTAGACAACAAATCCGTGTCTACTGGGAACACTAGAATTATTATTACTACCTACTCGATGGTAACGAACACTCGAGAACGAGCTCACAAGCGAAGATGATGAACTTTCTCCAGAGCCGGGAATGGGGCCTCATGCTTCTAGATGAAGTCCACGTTGTGCCCGCGCAGATTTTCCGGAGAGTCATTGGCTCCATTAAATCCCATTCCAAGCTTGGCCTAACAGCAACGCTCCTTCGAGAGGATGGTAAAATTGAGGACCTGAACTTTCTGATTGGGCCGAAGCTGTATGAGGCCAACTGGATGGAACTATCATAAAAGGGCTTCATTGCGACAGTCCAGTGCGCCGTTGTCTGGTGTTCGATGCCGACTGAGTTCTACGAGCACTATTTACCGGCAAACCCGCGGGATCGATCCATATTCTGCGTTATGAACCCGGTCAAATTTCAGGCTTGCCAGTACTTAATCAAATATCACGAAAGTCGTGGCGATAAGATAATTGTGTTCTCGGACAACGTATACGCTCTCGAGGTTTATGCAAAGAAGTTGATGAAGCCTTTCCTTTATGGCGGCACAAGTAACTCCGAGCGGCAGGATATCCTGAACTTCTTTAGACGTTCGCCAAAATGTAGTACCCTCTTCCTGTCTAAAATCGGCGATACTTCGCTCGATCTTCCTGAAGCGACTTGCCTTATTCAAATTTCCGCACAATATGGCTCCCGTCGCCAGGAGGCCCAACGACTAGGACGCGTTCTACGAGCTAAGAGGCGAAACGAGGAAGGCTTTAACGCCTTCTTCTACTCTCTGGTATCGAAGGATACGATGGAGATGAGCTACTCCTCTAAGCGGCAAGCTTTCCTTGTGGACCAGGGCTATGCATTTAAGGTGATCACACATTTGAAGAACATCGAAAGCATGCCGGACCTGGCCTTCTCCACCCCGGAGGACCAGAACGAGCTCCTTGAAAAGATCGTCGTCGACGTTGAGAGCAAGCCGTGGAAAGAGGAGCAGGAGATGGCTGGCCTCTTCGCAGAGGGGAACATGTTTTATAAACCTGATGGTAAGCCGCAGCGCAAGACAGCGAATAGGAGGACGGGGGGCACGTTGAAGGGCCTTGGTGGTGGGCAGGATATGGCCTATGCGGAGCAGAACAAGAAGGCAGGGAAGAAGAAGAAGGGCCCGCAAAGCGCGTTCTTCAAGTCAATCAAGAGGGAGAACGAGAGGCGCAGGATGTAGGTCTTGTAATGGTTAACTACATGATATGAGTAGGTTTAGATTGACGAAGAGGAATATGATACCCAGTTTGCAAACAGAGACGGACAGAATGGAAGAGCGAAGACGAAGATGAGTTCATGAAATCCATGGGGATGGTGATCAATTGATGTCTGAGTAAGTCCGAAGTCGCACGAACTGGGAGACGAAGTACCAAGGTACACAGGCCAGTGCGTGGGGTGATCCAGTCCCATTCCTCGGCGAATTGTTTTTCAGCCCCGTCCGCCCTCGGCATGACACCCACACAGTGCAGACGCCAGCTCTTACACGCCCACTTTGACCCTTGCTCGCCAACTTTCGGCAGCCTCGCAAACGCCAAAACCCGCCGCCTCTCGTAAATTGATTTCTCGGTCTGCCCCCAGACCCAGCGCGAAGAACAGCACACAGCGATCACCAGTCAATCCCAGGAATTTACCATTTTTTTCTGTCACATAGCTCTCTCAGTTGGCACATTGTCCTTTATATATATCCAGAAAACCAGCCCCTCTCTTACCTAAAACATTACAAGACATCTGTTCCCTCTGAAGCTCGACTGCTTGACCTGCAATTCGCCATGGCGTCGCAGCAAGCCATTTTTGCACAAACAATAGCTGCGATCAAGCGAAATCTAAAGAGAAAGGCATACGGTAAGCATCTACTGCTTTTCCCCTCTCCTAACCCGGAAGGAGACATAAACTAAGGCAGCTCTCAATCAGAATCCGATTCGGACGATTCGATCGACCATAACGGCAACCGCGGGCAGAAGCTAAAGAAACGAGCTCGATTTACCCGACAAGGACAACTGGCGCCACCAACGGGACCCGAAGTGTATAAAGAGGCATGCAACAACCACCCAATTTTTCTTCCTACCGACCGAGCCCCTAACCGTGTAAACAGGAGATCGAGTACGCCGGCACGAGGCGGAGCATCATTAGCCGAAACCCAGCACTCATCGATGACGACGGCTTCGAAGTTGATAGCGAGGATGACGATGAGCGCCTTCAAGACGCGCTTGCAAATGCCGCCGATATGAACCCATACGCGAATGTTCACCTTGAACGTAAGCTCGTGGCCTCCACGCCCCTCATCATACCCCTCCAGTAGAGTTCTAACCCTCTCGCTTGCCAGAAATCCTCGCGCCCCTGACCGCTGTCACCGACCTCGCTGACCACCCCGCCCTCGCGACTGCCTTCAAATCGAAGAACCTCACACAACTAGCTAACCAAGCTAGCGAGTTGATGCGCAAGGAGCAACGTGCGCTGTGGAAGGTCAAGAGGCTCATGACCGGGTTTTGCGGGGACTATACGTGGATTCCTTGCGGCGTACTCGTGGGTCCGAACGACATCGAGCTCTACAGAGACGATAGCGCATATCAAGATCTCGTCAGGCAACGCTTGGCTATAACAGGACTCTCGGGTGGCTCCTCGGGCGCGGCCGTAAATGCCGAGCAGAAACCAACAGTTAATGGCGCGTCTAGCGCAGCAGATACGTCGCCGGCAAAGGACGCCGGCGAGAAGGCCACGGCCGCCGATGATGTAACAATGGCGGACGTAGATGCTGTGCAGCAATCAGACAAAAATGCGTCGCCCGACAAGGAGGAGCCAGAGAAGGATTCCGATCAGGGCCGGTCGCAAGGAGGTGTCGAGGCGGCCGAGAAGTCATCAACTGCGGATCCAAAACCAGGCACGGGTTCGTCGGAGAAGCCAGCCAAGTCAGAAGAGAACATGAAGTCAAATTCCAGTACAGGTCCGGAGACGGTTACGGCCAAAGCCGTCGACAATGAGAATGTGGAGATGAAAGATGCCAACGCTACGACGAGCAACGAGGAGGCCCGCGACTCCCATGAAAATAACGAAGTGGGGCAACCGTCAGTCAAAGCTTACGCAGAGTCCGACGACTTCCCCATCCATCCCCTCTTCACTCCACCTACATACCCCCGACCGGATAGAGACATGGGACTCCCAGAAAACGAAGCTGAAAATGTCCGGCATCTATTGTCTCTTTACATCCAAAAGCAAGAGGAGGTATCCCGGGGAGCGGTGAAGCTCTACCTTAACCTATTAAAGGCCGACCGGCTACGGCAGCAGGTCCTTAGGTGGTCCAAGGCTGAGGGTCACGTTGGCGAGTTGTCGGACGGCGAGGATTGGTATGATTGGGAGGAGTGGAACCTGACTGAAGACTTGAAGAAGGGCCAAGATGAGGAGGAGGAAGAACTTCCGGTGGGCAAGAAGACTAGAACTCGGCGGAGCTGATGGATCGCTGGCATCGGTGTCGGTGGTGTTGGTCTTCAGGAGAGGCTTGACGGGATTACGATTTTCCTTTTTCCTTGTGTTCTTGTATGGGCTAGGCTTGGTTATCTTCGTCACGATTCCCACAGTATTGCGTTAGGACTCTCAATTCCTTTTAACTCTCGTCCACGAAATTGGTCGGTCACTTGGTAAGAGAAAAGTTGGCCGAAGCTGTGAATTCTCTGCTGTGTTGTCATCGGCCAAGAAAATCCAGTTTTTCTACAGACCGTCACCAAGTGTCGATAATCACCCGTCACAAATGGGCCATAATCTCTCATCAAGATATTACTGTCTCTTTGGTCAAGTTTTCGAGTAAAAAGTCTTTGGCGAGGGCCGATCTATATTTACAGGGACCAAAGGCATCGAGGACCTCTGGTTCCCCGTGGACTCAGCGGGAGAATGAGAGCTTCGACCTGAGAGTTGAGACGGAGGAGTTGTGGAAGTTAGTCGCTGAATCGCTGCCTGGGGCATCCCGAGCATACGGGAGAATGACCCCAAGGATGTGGGTGACCTTGTTCCCAAGCTGCCTCCCTCTTGTTTATGTCAATTTAGCGAAGTACTTTCTCGAGAAGGGCAAATACCAATACGGAAGTGAGATTGAGAATCTCATAAAGTGCTAGGGCGGCACTGTATCAAGCCTTCACCTCTTCGGCTCCACTTCTGATGGGCAGCTCGTCTTCGAATCGAATGCCATCGTCTAGCTGGCGGACGCTCGGTCTCTTCTCCTTCTCGGCCGCTTACAAGGGCTGGGTTCTTCACCTCACTGACGCCTAATTTGCTTCGTTCGGAGGGCATCGTCCACCGCGACAATCGGGCCGTTAACCTTCTCTTTCCAGACTTGCTTCCCCTCGATGTGATACAGGCTGAGGATATCTCAAGGTTCGCCATCTTCCATGGCCCAAGACCTTGGTGCTAGTCTTTACCCAGTTGACAGTTGTCAGTCTGTTTCAGCCTCAGACGACGACCTTCAGAGCCTCGGTGCCACAACGCCAACCTCTTTGAGACTCATCGATTTGGTTGCGCCGGTACCCTCTCGCACACCGCCATTGCGAGTAGCAGAGTACGATTGGCTCTCGGATACTGTACTCAACCACACACGCGGGGTATGTTTTGGGGACACCTGATAGAATTGGGGGCAGAAAGGCCTGAAGGATGCCAAATATTGATGGGAGGAGTGACGAGGAGTGACGAAGTACTTTGTACCACAAGAGCGCATCCAAGAATTTATGCATCAAAACATCCAGGCAACAACTCGAAGTGAGGCAAGTGTCTATCTTTCTTTTCAACTCAGTTCCCACCTCCTAACTTTACCATCTGCAAGAAACATGGCTATCCAGTTCTGCAATGGCTGTGGGGATCTTCTACCAACGGCCAAAGAAGACCAGTCTAAAGTGAAATGTGACTGCTGTGGTGTATTGAATAAGAGTTCGTGTTTTGCACTGGCGCTTTGGGAGAATATGAGCTAACTGTTATCTGAACAGACAAGTTAGTTGGTGCCACTATGACTACCACCATTAGTTTTCCTTCCAAGTTGCGCGGCGAAGTATCCACACCTTCGGCAGCTCAGAAGCCAGAGCTGAACTGGCCTACTATCGAGGAGAAGTGCCGGAAGTGTGGTGCGAAGGAGGTCAGATACACGACTCTTCAATTGAGAAGCGCGGATGAGGGCACAACTGTCTGGTATTACTGTCCCGCCTGCAACCATAGGTAGGTCAATTATCTTCATTCTAACATTTCTGTGGTTTTCCTGGGAGACTAAGTTGGTTTTAAGATTTCGAGAAGATAACTAGCACTGGCAGATCCCATCAATTAGAGGTCAAGTGCAGCATGCTCCGCACACTAGTGGATGCTTCTTCACTTTAATTCACTTTAAATCCAGATTGCCCCTGCATCAAAACCTGGTGTAAGTCCACCTAGAAGGAGCAATAATAGACACTGCGATCTCGTCCTGGTGATTATTCCTTGAAATCTCTCCATCAGACGAGGCCGACAAATTATGAAATCGCGCTCCTCGCACACTGCGAAGTACTTCGTAAAGTGTAGGATAACGGAGGAGCTAAATATACATGTTCACTTTCCCCTCCAAGTTTAGACACCCGTCGTGGAGACAGCAGCCCTCACTTCGCAGAGGAGTCCAGAGCATCAAGCCGTCCAGAGTCAGTATTGGCGGTAACCGGGCAGGGGCTCATTTATTTCTAGCTCCGTGAGCACAGTATGCATTAACACTCTCCAAGAAACAGTTATAGGCCATATCTCGGTGCTGTTTTTTGGGCTGTGATCTGACTCATGAAAGAGACCACATGCAGTTTTCAACGTTCACTGACAGGGACAAACAATCAAATGAGTTGAGGTGATTAATAAGCTCTTTTTTGCTGCACCACAACTCTGTTACCCGCAATAGTGCTTTCAGTACGAAGTACTTCGTACCGAGTATTAATTTGGTCATTGGTGGCAGAAGTTCGGGGATAGAGCCTAAGGAGGGGTTTCGAAATTCAATCGCTCGTGACGTTTTACCCCTCCTGAAGCTCTCCGAAGCAGGCACTCGCGACAACAACGTGGATGGCATCAAACACCGACTCTCTAGAGGATTCTCTAAGGACCCTCCGTGAGGAGGGGTTCCTAATTTTAAATGATTCACAAGTCGGAGACCTCGTCTCAGAGATGGAGGACAGGGGCTTCCCATTTTTGACGTCGTATGGTCTCCACTACTGCAAACAACATATCCTGGACAACGAGGTACGGCAAACTAACTACATGCGCCTAGTGGCTGGCTGTCATCTAATATTCATAGAATGTCCGGCCGATTCTCGAAGGCCTCCTCGGCACTTGCAAGCTTGGACATTGGATAAGATATAACTCCCTCCCCGACCGTATCGAGTGCTTTAGGAAGGGTGGCAGGCGGGCAGGTCTGCGGGCTCTCGTCGTTCAGCAGTGGGCGAAGGGGTCGCAAGCGGTCTACTACGCTGGTTCACACCTCCACGACTTGCCTGCGGTGCCAGGGGAGCGGTCCTTATACGAAACGGAGGAGGAGGAGTTGGAAAAAGCTGGCTGTAAGGCGATTGAGAAGATATTTCGAGATGGAGAGCTGTGAGCCCCCCCCCCCCCCCCTTTTTTAAAAAAAATTATTCTTTTATCTTTATTTTTTTTTTTTATTTTTTATTTTTATTTTATTTTTTCTTTCTTTTTTCCTTCTTTTTTTTTTTTTTAATTTATTTCTAATCTATATAATATTTTATTTATTACTAGATAAACTATAGCTCTTCTACTAATTATTTATAGAGTTCCTTTATTTTATTTATTTTCATTTTTTATATATTTTTACTATAATTAAAATTTTTCTATTTAATTAAATAGAAAAATTTTAAATATAGTAAAAATATTTAGGAACTTATTAAATATTTAATAGGCTCTTAAGTATTTTTATTATATTTAAAATTTTTTTATTTAACTAAATATTTAATTTTTTATATAATATTACTTAAACTAGTATATAATAATATCCCTATAGAAGAATCTATAATAGTAGAGCTTAAAGAAGATATTTAAAAAGCTAAGAAAATCCTTAATTTAATAAATAATAATAATAGGAAAATTAAATATTTAGTTAAATAAAAAGTTTTAGAAGTTAATTATAAACTAAAACTACTAAAAAAAATAAAAAAAAAAAATAAAATAAAATAAATAAAAATAAAAATAAATTAAAAAAAAAAAAAAAAAAAAAAAAAAAAAAAGAAGGCAGGCCTGCCCTAACAATGTGCTAGAGTAATTCGCGATGCCCGGCTTTACGTAAGAAGTGTTAGCGGATATGCAATCACCTTCATATTTGCGACGGAAGATGTACTTGCAGGTTGGCCTAAGATTATTATTCCAAATTCACCTGAGCTGGCGCGGACGGTCGTCAATATGGAAACTCCAACGATTGGGGTCAATTTCGCAATTAAAGACGGAAATAGAACTCGTTAAACCGTATTCGAACCATCGTTGTATCCGTGATATAAATTAGAATCTTGCCCTGCATCTATTATTCCCCAATCCCCACTGCATGGTATTGAGCTCAGAATCTGCAGGAGAGGAGCATCAAGACTGTCGGGTGGCGGTTGCGCCAAGTCCGACTGGATCATCTGAGTCGAAATATCCCCAAACCCGCCTACCCCAGCTATTCCAACTTCCCCACTCAGCGAGAATGGTAAAGTCGTTTCCGGTTGTGGAGAGGTAAGTAATGGAATCGATCCTAGTGAGAGTCAGAAGAGACTATACAAACGTCGCAGTTGGACTGAGGGGAGAAGGGGAGGGGGCCGGGGGGAGACGTACTGTTAATACGTTGGGAGCTGTTCATGGGCATCCCATTAATGCCCATGACTCTTTTGCCACCTGATATCCTTGGACCTATATCGGCCACCTCCCACGTTCTCTTCTTACTTATGGGTTGGGCACGCGCAGAGAGGTAGGCGGTTTTTGCAAGGCTTAGTTCACTGTTGGCACGGCGTGCCAACTCGTTGTACGTCTCCTGCATATAACCCGCCTTCCTACCAGTCTCATTCCTATGATTTTCTTCCGCATGTCTTATAAATTCGCTTGCCAATTTGAATGGGCGGAAACAGAACACGCATACTTCCTGGCATGTGATATCTGCTCAAGATGTTACTGAGTAGCCAACGGAAGCCGAGAGGGTCGGATATTCACGTTTCTGAAAGTGACGCAGAAGCTTCTGCTTGGTCCGAAATGGGGTTGTTCGATCACAGTCAACATGAGGGCAGATTTTCAATCGGGGGTCAGGATCATGGGGACTATCATCTGAATGTTCGCCATCACTGTCGGTGTTTACTCTCGAGTGCGTCCGACACTTCTCGATTCGGGTTATGTGGTACGCTTCTTGTGACTGGAGAAGTCAATGTTGTACGAAGAACAGTTGCAGTTTACTTACTCGAATATCTTCGAGATGATCGTTCAACGCTGTCCTCGATGTAAAGTATGCGGAGCAAGTACATTGGTAGCTGTCGTCCGACATGGCGACCCTTGTTGAAACCGAACGCGAATGGGGATGAGAGAGACGCGAGTATGAGGGGTAATGACCAGTTATCCGGTATTTCGTTAAACCGACTCCGGTCAAACTAATCATGATTAGGGCAAACTCTGTTGTCGGGCTTCCATGGTCTTGGGCCGCCCGAAAGCTTCGATGTTATAAGACCCGACCGTCGAGCAGTCACACTTAACGGCCTCTCTCGTTCGAAATAATATTTCTGGCTTTTTACAGACCGACACTGCGGAAGTGGCTCAGCTTTTTAAATCCGATCCTCTACTTCCTGATCAGACAGAGACGCAAAATGGCCAATTGCGAGACCTGCCTCGGCCAAGGCATCAAAGGGACCAAATGTCCGACTTGTGGACATCCCAGTGCATAAGGCCGAAAACGAACCCTTCTTGTAAGTGGCTAGATCCTCATTATTCCCATCTCCCTGTCTATTCGGTTCAGAATTGGTAGCCTATTAACATCTCCTCATGGAAAGTTGTTCACAACGTCAGACCCCTGGTTCTGGGGGGGTCAATATTACCATGGGGAAGGGCACAGCGGCTTGAGATCTGAGATTTGCGCTTGGCATGCATTCCATTACCAGAAAGCTCAGATGTGCTCATGATTCCATTTCTTATCTCCACATCTGTGTTAGCATGTTAGCATATAGTTGGTGTTCCGTAAGAAAAGAGAAAAAAAAATTACCTTGATTCCAAGACCTTACAGTGATCGGAAAGTGAATATGTCTCAACTGCATGCAGTATTCGCCTTGAGTCTAACCACGGGCCCGTGGTCAGCCTTCGAAATATTCTCCGCGACAGCCAGCCTCCCAATGCGTCGCAACAGGAGGGTACCACGGATGTGTGGTAAGCGTACGAGTGACCACGGATTTGTGGTTAGCAGAGAGCCTTGCCAGCCTGTTCCCTGCATCCAACCGGCCTCAGCCACCTCCGCAACGAAACGCAAGAAACGGGCATGCCATCCTCGCGGACCAACACATACATCCAGGAACTTTTTCTACTTGGGCAAGGGTTGGCGCAGGGGAAAGCACCCATTTCACCCGCTTGCCAACTTCGGAATATTTGCTTTCGCGGCGGGAGCACTGCCCAGAGAAATACAACCCCTACCTTTTCGCCCTGTCTATCTAGCACCAGAAACCCTCACGTGTCTTCGTAGACCGCTATAGACGTTATTTGCCGTGACGCAACGCAAAACTTCGGACCCTGCTCCTCCAGGCTGCATCACCAACAGGCCAGGATGGGCCGTGATCTACTAGTTCCGCATCGCAGAAAAGGTGTCTCCGAGGCGGATCTACAACACTTTGAGATTATGAACTCATAGCATTAACCCGACCAGCAGTGTATGTGTCGGCCCAGTATTGCGCAGCAGTCACTAGTGAGTATTCTCGGTCACCGGCGGTCTATTTGGCGGTAGGGATGAGTTTAGAAAGGTGGTTGATTTTCCCGAAGTGTGGTCACTATTCCCTGTATGAAGGAGACTGTCCATAAACACAAGAGAGCATCGAGTACGGCCATGGCTTTTAGGGAAAAAGAAAAAAAAAACTTCGTGGACATATCCCTGTGGGTGCTTTCTAGTAATGCTTGTAGCTAAGGTTATTAGATAAAACAGATCTTCGTTCGAGATTCCCATTGTATATATTCATATGGGGTAAAGACCGGAATCTATGATTCCTTCAAGGCGTAGGGCCAGTGATCTTTTCCCTCAGATTTATCAATACAAAGCCCAGTACTTGCTCCAAGTAGATCAGGTATACGATCGTTTACACTTGTTATTCAACGCCATCATAGATAATGTGATTATGGGAGCTGTTAGTGGAATTCGAGGAGGCGGTGGGAAATGTAACGAAGATCACCGGAGTGCAAGGGCGAGAAGGAAGAGGGGGAGAATGAAAGGGAGAATGTCACGATGTCAAGGGCTTTCTTCAATCATGACACTTCACAGCGAGCACTGCGGGCAATCGGGAACGCTTACCCTAAGTCGGTCTCGAAGAAAAGATCATTTGCGGCAGGTTCTCGAGAAAATAGACACTGGGTAGGTAAATCATATGTGTTATATAGCGTGCTTCTAACTGGTTAAACAAACTCGAGTGCACAACTTGGCATTATATTGACCAGCAGATTGAGTAACACATCTCTCCCAACTGAATTCGTGAGAAGCTGAGATTTTCTCGCAATTAGTGAAACGGACAAGCTCTCCGACAGCAAGGTTACTTGCCTACGGTACACCGTACATGATCGAACGGTTCATTTTGAGCTCTGAGCCTTCTTGCAATCAGGGCAGGGGCCGTAATTCTGATAGTCCTCCACGCCGCTGGTGGTGCAAATCCATATTCCCTCCTCCAGCTTGCGAATGCACGGGACTACATTGTCCCCGGTGATCGAATGCCCGCAAGCATATACGATTCGTGGCAGGTGGCACATGTTGCTAAAGCCATGAGAATCGAGCAAGGTCACAGAGTCTCGGGAACAGCAGTAGTCAACTGACCTTCAACTTATAAAACGCTTAACTTATCTGCAGGCGATCTGATGATGCTTTCTCAGGATACTGACTGGATTGAGGATTGGCTTCACTTCCAATCACAACTGGGAGTGAGAGGAATGCCTTCTTAAATGCCTCCCGACTCAACCCATCGCGATCTATCTTGGATAGAACTGTCCAGGAGGTGTAGCTTGCTCTCTAGAGCCTCCGTGAATGCGTAGTCGCTGAGCCGGGCCATCGAGTCGAGAGGATGGGAGGGTGTGGTCGTCGCCACTACGTGATGGCTACTCATGGAGGTTACCGTAGATTCGTGGTAATTCGACGGTCACCACGAGCCTGTGGTTATGTCCCGCTCAATCCTACGGCCCGGGCACCTCCGACTCAGACTACATTGTTCGGCCAGCACAGTTATTGTCAGCCTCGCTTTCGTGGCCCTTATAACTTGCCCGCGAGACTGCAGGTTTGTGGTAATCCCTACCAACTACACATATTCGTAGTACGTTTCAACGCCATTGGTTGTCGGTCGCGAAGCAATCCTATCTCGAGTTAGATATTTCGAAGAATCTTTCCAGCTTTCCAATCGGAAATTCAGGCTACACTAAGAATAACACGCACCCGATGCGGAAGTTTGGATGTAGAGCAATGTAGGTTCGCGTATAAGTCGACTCGGTCCATCTCGCCGGCTGGTGGTCATCGATCTGCAGAGCACCGAAGAGTAGGGGAGAACCTAACCACAAGTTTGCGGTAATCCCTCACTTACCGCACATTGGTGGTACCGACAGCTACCAGTTCACCAAGATTAGCCAACCCATTTAGAAACACCAGAAGTATGGCTCCTTCACTTGTTGTGACTTCGGAGCAGTACCCTGGCTGAGCCTGTTGCTGCCTCCATGTGCGGATGCGCACTCTCATCCTCTTCTATCACAGTTGAGGGGACTACCCGCACCGGGTGTAGATATGGCATTTCTCAGGGCCGCCAGAAGCCAGCTGGAAAGCATACGTAGAGTTACGTTTTGTATCCTCAGGGTTGCGTCGGAACATGGTGCCACGGTATGTATGAACATGACTCCCAGATTCAGACAGGGACTTACAGTCGGGCACCTTCTCGTACTGCAAGTTTACTTCGTATGTGCATTTTTCACATCTTTTTTGGTGATGAAAGCCATGTGTTAGCATCCGAGGTTCGCGAAAATCAACCGCATTTGCTGCTGTGGGCTCCCTGCTTCTCTTAAGGGGTGAATATTGCCCAGCATTCGATTTTCTACCTGTCCGGATTTGACTCCATCGTTTCATCACAGAACCCCACCGTCTCAGCGTCTAGTATATCGACATACCAACAGAAATTTCGTTCTTGAGTTGCAACCGGGAAATATGACCTTTGTTGAGCAGAGTGTTTCGTATTATTGCGGGGACTCTGGTGTGTTCTGCAGAACTTCTGGCATCGGAAATTTTAGCATGGGAAATGTGGACGTTAGACTGCACGGATAGCATTTAATGTATGCCGTTTGGCATCGATGGCTGAGGGAGAGTTTTGAAATCATGGTCTTTAGGGGTCGGTCAGAATCATAAATGGATGATGGGAAGCGAGAGGGCTCGATGTGTTCGACGATATTCATCATCAACGGGCTCATTGTGATGGCTGACGTGATCTAGATTGTAGATCTGACGTCTTGCCTGTAAAACTCCAGTACATCTTCGGATAATTTCTCCTCTTTATCTCTGATCTAATGAGCAATTCGTTAGCAATTCGGAATTCACACTAATCACGACTTACCACTAAATGAGTCCAGTGCCCTGCCTGACCAGGCTCCAGAATCCGATGCGACAATGGGAAGAGTCAGGGGATCATTCAGAGGTCCGAAGTAACTGAGTGGCCCTCGACGAAACTTGTGGAAAAGACATAGAAAAGACACATTCTATCACAATCGGTCTCTCTTACTTCGATCCCGGCAGTATCGTTCTTGATTCAATCGAGTTCGCTGGGTTCCTAGCAGATCAATGCCAAGATTGACGGGCCAGGTACCGAAGCACTCTGATTGGGCAGTGCCGACTAGAACTAATTCTAAACGGAGAATTTCGAGCGCCTAAAACGGATCCATCGAACTCTAAAAGGACCTCCAGGCTCTCCGCTCGCTGAAACTACACATCTCCAATAGGCTTGCGAGCCGAGAAGACGTGCGTGGCGGTCTTCGTGCGTCCAGGATGGGCACGATATTGGACTCTAGTGGAAATACTTTTTCTGAGCCGGTCGGTTCCGTTTTGGGTCAGATGTCCGAGTTGGTCATGGGTAAGGGATTGACTCGAGGCTGGAATCGATCATGGACCAAGACGAGGATGTTCACGCGGGAGGGCACTTGATTCGTTCGAGGCACATCGGTGGTCACATTAAAGGGGTGAGTGGGACGAACCTGGAGAGATTCTGTTTCCAGGGCTCGGGTGGCATTTCGGTGGAGTAGAGTCGTCACCGGGAACACGTAGAGCATCGTCTTATACGAATGTGAGACTGAACTTGACGTGTCAGATTTTAAGACGGAGGCTGAACATGCTCTCCATTGTGACTGTTCGTTAGGTAGGACCGGTGTCGAGGGTTACGGGGATTTATTCCATCGTCCCGTACAGCCTCTAGCTACGGAGTATGAGGATGAGTGGTGGACCTGGAAAGATGAGATAGAAAGGCATGGTGCCCTCGTCCTGCGGTTCCTTAGAAACTACCAGATAGAGAGCCCGTTGAACCCTTCATAATGCTCACCGTACGGTTGATTCACCTCGTCTTCCTACCGCGTGCGTCTGTCGGGGGATTGTTTGAATCTATCTTCGGCTCAAGCACTACCCAGGCAACGGAGCCAGCTGTGCTCAGCCTCCCTTACGGCTCATTTAGGTCAGAATACAACGAGGTATCAGGCACGTTAGTATCACGAAAACTAAAGAGCTCACTTGCCAACAGGCGAAGATTCCCTAACTCCAAGCTGTGTAGTCATGCCTTTCGCAACATTCCCTACGCGGCGCCAGCAGTCGGAGATTTAAGATGGGTGAAACCAGCGCCGCCAGTAAATCAATCTAGGACTCAGCAAACCCGTGAAAAGCCAACATGCCCCCATGCTTTGATAAACGGCATCAACTTCATCGGGACCGGTAATGAGAGCCCCATCGGAGCCGCAATGAATCAGTTGTATGCGTCCGGCCGATTCTCTCCCGCCTGTCCACTTACACGACAGTATACTAACACCTTGGAGCTAGCCTCGGCGGACTACCTATCCCGAGCTTTGGTGAGGAGAGTGAGGATGTCTTCCAGCAATTCGTACAGCTGGCTGGCTGCGCCGACCAAGGTCTCGACTGCCTCAGAAAAGCTGACATCAAAACGCTCATGAGCGCAAATCACGAGTTGATGCAGAATCAAGTCCCTGGAATTTTTCCCCGTAGGACCGACACCTGACGAGTCCATCCAACAATTCCCAGTCCCGGAGCTCGCGACATGCAACTTTTGGAAGATAGAATCGCTCCTCCTCTCGCACTGCTCCAATGAAGCCGTTCTCTTCCTCGACGGCTTCATCGCCACTAATGCCGACTTTGACAATTTCCTCACCACTGTCTTTGCGAATCACACGGCTGATATTGGCCTCAACCAGAAAGTCGCCGACTTCTACCCAGAAGTTGGTTGCCCCCAGGCCAAGTACAAGACTCAAGCGGACCGCAGGGCAGACTCCGTCAGAGATAGCAGCATGGCATGCAACATCCGCTACCTTACTGAAGCCTACGGCGACTCTAAGGTCTGGAACATGCAGTACTCCGTATCTCCGGGCTGGCATGCCATGGATCTCGTCGCGGTATTCTACAACAAGCACTTCTCATCGTCGAGTTGGAACGACGTGCTCAAGAACTTCGTCCTGTTACCATTGGGGATCCTCCTCTCGGACATCAGTGCGGCTCACCAGAGCTACCTCGCCTCGTACACCGTTAGAGGAGACCCCGGCGTCGACAGAGTCGTGCTCAACGTCCTGCCCACGGTGAAGTGGAATCACCCGCGCAGCTCGTCCGGGGAGAACGTAGGCGGAGTTGTGGGCATTGGCAACTTTCTCGTCAGCGAGGTTGAAGATGGGTGGATGCGTGCAGGTTTTGGAGGGAGTTTTTACGCGGCGGCGACGGCGGAGGGAGGGTACGTGGCACCTGGGGGAGAGGTATCTCAGGGTTTGGTTGGGGTGGAGAAGGATATCAGACGGAGATATGAAGGTATCGATAGATGATACTTAGTGGACGGTAATATAACGAGCGACACCGAGGTTTTCCTCCTTTTTATTTATATATATTTTACTCAGACTATGTTCGGCGGAAATGCCAGTAATATCTTGATCCCGAGACCACGAGATCCCAGCAGCCGAATTTCATTAATAAGGAACGGACCATTCTCCATCCTCGAAAGAGCGAATACGTAGTGAGTGAATAAATACAAAGGAAACGTAAACGTTATTGAGCATGTCCAAGGAAACGAAATCAAATGGGCATTAGAACTACAAAAGAAAGCGGTAAAGGTGGTAAACATCATCGTGGCCAAGTTGATGTTCAATCTTGGGAGTTGAAAATATGAACAGTGGATCACAAAAGAAAGAAAAGGATGGAGAAAGAAAAGTATTGGGGAGGGGGACGGACCAGCAATATATAGGAACGTAATTTATCCTGGTTCCCCAAGTTGTCATAGATGCTGTCTCAGACTCTCAGATATAATGAGACGGCAAGGGACGTCAGAGCGGCAAAGTCTATCCTTACTGGGATAGAATACTGGTGCCACACAAATACTGGGCGTTGGCAATTCGGTGAGACACGAGTCTCACCTGTCAGCGCCACAATACGGATAACGATGAACGTATATCAAGACTCATCGGCCTGGTAACCCGCAAAGGGATCCCCGCCGGGGTTAGGAGTCCCCAGAATTCTTGGGAACTCAAACGTTGTGCTAAATTCTACCGCGGAACCATTGTTGTCGATGATTTCGGTCGGTTGAAAGTCCAGTGGGTTAATGAACTGGAAACCTTGGAGATCGGTGCCCGCTTGAATATTTACATCTTGTGTTCCTTCGGGCTGGACCTGAGGCAGAGCTTCGGTTTCCAGGGGAATGGTTGCGGAGGACGGGGGCATAGTAATAGACGCTTCAGGAACTTTGTGGTGCAACATCCAGTTAGTAACGAAACCCTCGACGCGACATCGTCAACTAGCAGAGAAATGCCTATAGGCTGTCCATACGAGAAGAAGATGAAGTTTGGGGGGGGGATTGAACTCACCAAACTCATTAGGTTGAAGTGATGCTGGTCCTGAAGCCGGATGTCGGAGCTGCAGGCCGATCTTCTCTACCAAGGCCTCTTGAAGTCTTGTGCTTATGCTGAAAAGCACGCCGATACCTCCCTGGTCTTTCAACCCCTCGGTCACTTTGAGTCGGAGTGTCACCGTATCGAGCCTGCAATACAAGCTCGGACAAGCAAAGCCTACTGTGGCATCGACAAAGTATTTCAGCTCACCGTGGTCCGGGGGGCAGGGCCGAGCTGTGTAACCAAGTTTCGCGACTAGTTCTGGATCAATATAATCTCCCTGCAGGGTATCCTTTTCCCCATAGACAAGTGTGCCTTTCGCTTTGGCAGTGGCATCATCGGGACCCAGAAAGGACGCGTCTACCATTGTGACCCGGTCGTCAAAACGGTGGCGCTCACGGAACACACCGTGTCCGATAAGCAGATTTGCCGGGTTCTGTCGCTGCGGCTGCTTGGATGGGTGCTTGTTCGCGACCGGCGGTCCAGTCAACTGAGCCTCCCACGGGTTGGCTGGGGGGACAGGAAGATTCGCAGTTTGGGTGGGCCATTGAGAGCTTGGGAACGGAAAGCCTTGAAAGCCTAGAGGAGTCTTGTGAGGCACATATCCTATGGCGCTAGCTCCCGAAATTTCCGTCACCGGCGTCATTGCATTCAGGTCGTTATCTGGGACGGCTAATGCGGTATTCGGGGTCCGGGTCGTCGCCATGCTGCTGTCTCCCGGGAGCAGCAGGGGTAATATGGGCCTGGCTTGGTTGTATACATGAACCGACGACGCATTTTGAGCGGTCCCTCGGTGTTTCTGCGGTTGCCGTTTCTTTGATATACCACTCCCTTGGGGTCCTCCTCTTCCACCATCTGATGGAAATAGCTTAAAGCCCTTCGTCGAAGGATAATGCTCGTCCCTTCCGCGAACGAGAGGGTTTGTGGCCATCGGAAGGGCGGCCGACGGATATTTCGATGCCAGTTCCGAGTTTGGTCAAGGGAACGTAACAATAAAATAAGAAGCGTGTGTTGCGGTCGATGAAGAGAGGGATCAACTGAAAGGACCCCGGCTCTCCGAGCCACCACTGCCTTTAAACGATAATAAGTTATTCCTTAGCAAGTGAAGAAGTAACCTGAGAGGGTGAGCTCGATGGAGGTGAAGAGAACCTGGCCGCCTGACCGTCCACGAAGAGAATTGGGCATATATCTATCGGCGGAGGTGGCTGCCCGCAGATATTACCTTGATCTGGTACTTGGAACTTTGTCAAGCCGTCCATCCTCTACTCTCAGTAATTTTCAAGTACGTGGTGTTGCGACGGAATTGCATCCATGAAGCGTATCTCCTTGCCGTGTTCCCCAACCATTGGCCAGGAGAGAATACATCGATGTGAAAGCGAGGAGGCATGCTCTCATTGGACTACGGGCAGGTTCGCCTTGAACGCCTTTTCTACAGAGACGAAAATTTCAAATCACAGCCTGGTCTACCATCCAGCATCTACCAAAAGAAGCTGCATGCTGCCAATCGTCGGCGTTCCAAGCCCACCCAAATAGCATTTCCCCGCTCGCACTCGTCGTAGGCGACCACACCATCTTGGATGTCTGCGTTTCAAGGCTGGGGCTGTGTCTTGGGGTGGGTGGCGAGAGAAATTCCAGTTTGCAAAATCCAGTGTTTGCTGGCTCAGTTGTCTGGGTCCATGACTCTGAGAAGGCTGGGCGATTCTCGATCTACAATGCTTCTAGTCTGCGCAAGAGGAGATGAGTGAAATGGCGATATTGAGAGGGAAGAATGTTTACCAACCCCGTCCCTCCCGTGTACCTGCTCTCGCTCGCCACAGCTCTCCGTCTGTCTCTTCTGTCTCGCCGGGAATGTCTCCCGCCCTGTGGTTTTAGGGCGAATTCACTTCATTTGGAATTTTAATTACATCCAATGAGCAATTCGCTTAGAGAGAATTCGCCCTGAAATATGTGTGTTATATAGTTGAATGTTTTCTTCCGTCCAGTCGACAAATCCCTTCCAACCCAAGCACCTTTCATCACTTCCTCGGTACGAAGACGACAAGTTCTTAAGCATTTTATATGGAGGCTTGCCATCGGCCTCAGGATGCGTTCCTGGGCCACCCTAACGACTACTACTCCCGCGATACTCGGTCGGCCCATGGAACCTATGGGTGCCCCTTTCCCAATAAGCAATACCAAGACTTCCTTTACTCTCCCATAACATCAATCCCGTCACCCGAGGAAGCCCGATTCAGCGACCCCCAGACTCCCCCGCAGTTGTCCCCCAACAATTTGAGATACCCCGATAGGCACGGAACGCCCGACGGGGAAATCTCTTTCCGCAGAAAGAATGTCCGCTACACGGAACCCACCCCGCCGGGAACCGAGGAATCATCCAGCGTCGAAGAGGATGATGAAGATGATCAAATGGATGACACCGTGAGCATCCATTCGATGACAACTTGGCCTGATAGGGAGCCGTCGAAAGGTAGTGAATCTAGCGAGCTAAAACAGGTGGTTCGTTTCGACTACGACTGGGCCGATGCCAACGCGGATGAGCCCCCAGTTCCTTGGGAAGAGGTGCCTTCTTATATCGACTTTCACGCGAATCGGGTAGCTCATGACTACTGGAAATGGGATCCGGATGTGCAGAAATGGAAGCACATCGACGAGAAGACGGGAGAAACCATTTATTGTCCAGCTGAGCTGGACTAATGCTGTTCAATCTGGGAATCTTTTGTCGCTCGGGAGCGAAACTTGCAGCCGCTTCGTTACAAGCACAGCTGGGTGGAGCCTAAGACCAGTTTGTTTCCTATTGAGTGATTAACTATATAACTAAATCTCGCAATGATGGATTTGATACTGCTCTACTCGGACTGAGTTGTTGTCTCCCCTTAGGTGAATCCCTGACAAGTGAAGCCGATGTGTTGATGCATCAATCGATCCTATTAATTGATCACTGGTGCCTTTCGCGCCCAGGGTCGAGAATCGTGGAATACCTTAAACGACCCGGCGTTCTGGGCAAGTCTGATGGTTCCTGCATATGTAGGCGATGGACCTCTTTTCTTTTCTCACGAATATGTAAGTTTCCAGTTTCAGGTTTGTAAAGAAGAGATCAATAAGCGATCTCTTGTATCTAGGGACACTAGCGCCTGGTTCGAGCTTGCTCAGCTCCAAGAAAACCAATCGGGACCAGTGAGTGAAGGCGAGAAGAGCCCCGGAACGATTCACCTGCCATGCAATAAGACGTTTGATCAATAAATTCCGTTTAATTCATAGAAGAATTGTATTTACAAAATCTTGTGGCTTCGTAGTGTAATTTCATTAAGTTCTCTATCCTCGCCTATCCCGGCTTCTGATCTAGGCTGACACAGTCCGAGCCTTGATCGCTGTGAAACGCATAGCCCGATCATCAGCCTAATGCCACTACCTGAGTGACACCGACTTCTTGGGCTGCCTCGTCTGCCTTACTTACCGTCTCAGTGGTGGAGGTATGTATGGTGCTTCGGTGTTGTCGAACGCCTGGGCAACGAGAGGGTCGTTAGTGTATGCGGACGGCAACTCGCGAAAGTTCAATGTTGTTAGTACCACAATCTCGCATCTCTGGTCTGGCGTACTGTACTTACTTCTTGCTCGCAGTAGAGGTCATTCCCGACGAAGAATGTCCCGAATCTGGTCGCCGAGAAAACTAGGCCGAGAGCGTAACCGTTTAAGGAGCGTATTCCGGCCGATCAAAAGCTGGCTCCCATCCAGAATCCTAGGATCATAGGACACTGCAAGGGAATATCGATCGAGGGGCATTCGCATTTCCCGGCTCTCGAGGTCAACACTGGGGGCTACGCCACACAAACGCCAGTCCACGCCGTTTTCGAAACGATTCGGCAATGTACCTGGCGGTGCAACACGATCCCAACGTATTTCAGCGTGTCGGAGGAGAGACGGACATATGAGAGATGCGGCATGAGTGAGGCGGAATTTTGCCCAGGCTGGGATTCCGGTGTTGCCGACATGAATTTCCCATGTATTGGATTCAAGACAGCCGATGAGGGCATCTGAGTGATAATTTGTCCACCTGATGCCCACTCGGGGCCTGAGGATGTTGGTAATCTCTTGACGTAGAGTATCCATGGGCGGTTCAAGTTCAAGAGTAACACGTAGCGGGCGGAGACGGGCCTGGGCACAGATGGAAAGGCAAGACTTCTTATACACGGGACCTACATATGCAAATCACATCTATTGAGTCTGCGCAGTGGTTAGGCATGACATTTAGAGGCCTAATGACGATGGCGTACATCGCAATGCTGTACTGCTCACGATACGAGGACGAATCAGTATGGATGGATCTCTTCAGCTGGTTTTCCCGTTTATCGAATGACCATTCGACGTCTCGGGACGCCTGGTCCGCCTTCAAGGCTGGCAACATTGAATCCCCACCCCCATCACAACCGGCCCCCCAACCAACCATACCTCCGGAATCCTGCGGGCTTCTCTCCTATTCCTTGCCGGCAGGCGTGGAGAATGTAATTTTTTGGAAGTTCCGTCGTTGGCATGCCTTTTCCTATCATTCCCCCATTGGACAAAAGAGGAACGCTTTTGTTCTCGACCTATGAAATCAGTGATACTACTAGGCTTTCCAGGAACGGGATTATTCCCTCCGGCCCGTCCCCTTCTCAGACCTCGCGGAAAATGACAAAATGAGCTGGTCTGGGCCAAGACACCACGCTAGGACGTTATGGTAGCCAACCATTCTCTTCTCGCTTGGGTACGCGCAGTGGTTCCCTCGAATGAGATTGGTGGCTAGGGGCTTCGTCAATGTTTGAGGGTGTCCCGAGTAGGGGACGCGACGACAAGGCTCGGCTCGGGTGTCAACGGCAGGGGCTTAGGGTGCAGAGAAAGTAGCAGCCCGCGCTTTATCAATTGTAGTACTCAGCCATACCGGTTGGCAGTAATGACTCACTAGAGCGGATATCAATACTTCATTCAGGAGGACGTCCACGTTATGCTTCAACCCACCCGGTCAATTCTCGAGGATCTTGTGTATTCTGCCACCTCACCTTGCTTGGTCCCCCCGCCTGACCTAAGTCATGATGCAATTCGATGCGGAATTCTCAAACTACGTGGCGTTTTTGGGGGCCAGGCTCTCGGCGGGCGCGAGTGCCATCGTATTGCATACGCTTGGGATGCATCCGGCGAAGATAAAGAAAACGAAAAAGACACGCCCAAACGGAAAAAAAGAGGCTCACAATCTAATTAGGTATACTTCAAAATACTACAACGGTTCGGTTCGCCGTCGTTAAATGATTATCCCACATTCCTGATGTTGAGGGCCCGCTCGTTGTCGGGATCGTCGTTGAACTGTCGTTGAATTGTCGTTGCCGGGTCCGGATTTAGTGGGCCCCGAACACCGGGATGATGGGGCCATAGTAGACGGGATGTTCTACGGTACCACACAGAGGAGGGGAGAACACGAGCCTTTTCACCACAGCAATCTGCTCCAGATGTGCCTTTTTACCATAGGAAAGTGGATCAAATGAGATTTCAGCACGTCTGTACGACTTGGTTGGTCTGGAGAGCTACGGAGTACTCTTCAAATGGTGTGTCCCCAGCACCCAATTCAAAGTGTATCTTGTCGCTTATGCACGGATTATCGGATGGACTGGCCTGGCGACTCGCGAGCCACGACGTTCCCACCTTCTGTTTTTGGTTTGTGCTTGTGAGCGTCATGCAAGAGCAGGAGTGCACTTTGACTTGATGAACATGCTCGGAGTGAATTGAAATTGACCAACTTAGTCATCAAACATCCACCTTCCCCACAGATAATCTAACTAGACAAGAAATGGTCAAGCGTTCTGAAGCACGAGGAAAAAGCCACAAAGGTATCAGTACCTATATAGTTTGCCAAACAAATAGACGGTATATGTATATATACTAATCCCTCGAAGCCTCCAAACCTGCTGAGACAATGTTACCTGTCCGCCTCGCCAACCTCCACGTTCAAGGCTTGGGGCTCAGTGAGTTAGCTGCATGACGATATTTCCCCTGAAGCATCAGATCCCAGGCCATCGGCGTCCCTCTCGATCGCACCAGAAACGCAGCCCTCATTAGCTTGCGATAAGCTCCATTGCCTCAATCTTAATCAATCCTCTGCTTCTCCTACTAATACCGCATCGCTGTAACCCAATCCCGACAGGGAGCAAAGATGCTCGGCACCAGACCTCCAAACATCTCCTGTCGCAGCCAGTCCTGAGCCTTTCCTTGAGAAAATGGATCGCAACGGAAACGGCGCCGCCCTGGCTTCCAAATCCAGGGCAGAGCAATTCGAAGATGAGAAACGGAGGATAATAGAGTCGTGCTTCAACAAGACTGACCCCGATGGTTCATGTTCGTCACCATCCTCCGGCATCCCATTCCTCGAAGGCGTTGAAACAGAAAGATCTATCATGGTGAATATACCAACTAACCTGGTGCTAACCTTTCACTTTTTGCAGTACAAGAAACTTATATTACCCATATTCGCATCACCGAATATTCAACCCACCCCTCGAACCCGCCTCCCCCTTACTCGCGAACGCCCGAGGTCGAGAAGCCACGAATTATCATCGTCGCCGTCCGAAAGTCGGGACGAGTCCGCATGCATAAGTCCAAGGAAAACTCGAACGGCACCTTTTCTATTGGTAAGACGTGGAACCTCGACGACCTGAGTCATATTCAATCCTACACGGGCCCGACGGTGGACGCGAACCTGAGGCAATGGGCCGGCGATACGGGGTTTCTCGTAACCATACAAAAACCGTATTTCTGGAATGCCCAGACCGACAAGGAGAAGAAGTTCTTCATCGCCAGCCTAGTCAAGATCTACGGCAAATATACCAATGGCAAGACCCCCGAACTTTCCGGCTTCGATCCGCGCGAACTCGACCAGGTGCTCGGACGACGACCGCCCCCGGTTCGAATGCCGCCGAGCGAGAATACGGCTCAACGAAACGCCTCGGGCGGGCCCAGGACACCGGTTATGCCCCCTCAGCCTTCACCAACTATGAGTCGAAGCGCATTCCCCCCTACCGGCAAAAGTTCACCGGCTGGTAGCTTCGATTCGTCACGGTCTCAAAACCAAGCGGCATTGCGACGACTGGCCGGGAGCGATAGGAGCCAGGATTCGCTAGTGAACAATAACAGCAACAGTTCTTTCAATGCACCACCACCTCGTGGCGATGAAGCGTCTCCTCGCCCTCCACGATCCCGGGGAGGAATGGCTGGCCCTGGTGCCTATGGCCGTTTCGGTGACCCATCCCCAGAGCCAGCCGCTCTTCTTCCTACGGAGAGGCCGCCGCCGGAGAGGAGACGCCCACCGATTGACCTAGGACGCCCGCAGCAGTTCGCCGATCGAGACCTAGTCCCTGCCCCTTTGATGAGCCCTGGTATGAAGAGAGATCCTGTAGTCCCACCGCCGCGCAGCACGGACCGTATGTCGCCGAGGAATAATTCCATGTCTCAGAGGTCAGATACTAGCTCCCTCAGGGAACGATCCTTTTCCAGCCAGAAAGAACCTCCTCGCAGAGAAGATACAGCAGGCAGTCTCAAGAGTCCATCCCAATCTTCGTTTTTGCGGACATCTCAAAACGTAGAACCTCCAGTGCGCTCAGAGTCCCCTGCTCCCATGGAACCAGAAGAAACACGGCCTGGACTGAACCCCATGATCAAACCAAGAAAGGCTAACCCCGAACCAACTCCAACCCCACCACCACCTCCACCGGAAGAGCCGAGCGAGACTCGCCCCGGACTTGGTCCTATGATCAAGCCAAGGAGGTTTAATACGGAACCTACATCTCAGGGAGAGCAAGAAGAATCCCGGCCCGGTCTCGGACCCATGATCAAGGCCAAGCGATCGAAAGGAGACATTGCTGGCTCTTTATGGAAAGCTGCCGCCGTCGCTGGTGCCTTCAAGCCTCGCCCGGGTGGTGCAGGCGAACGACTACGTTTGGCCCAGAATAAAAGTGACGACGGCCCCGATGGTATTACCAGCGTTGTTCCCGCGCCACCGCGCCCCGCACCGCCTCCTGAGCCAGTACCAGCAGAGCCCGAACATCCCAAACCTCCCAAGTCCGAGGATAGGAGGACGCCGAGTGTGCCTGAAGTCAAAGTTACGGTCCCCCAGTCCAGTCGGCCCAATAGCCTCCAGTCATCCGTCAAGGACAATCGGCAGAGTATTGAGGAGAAGACACCGCCGAAAGCGGACCAGCAGCCTGCCCAAGAGGAAGAGCGGCGAGCAATTCTCGCCGGGAACGATGCCAAATACCTCGCCACACTTGGTGTCGACCCGACCCAGATTCCGGGGCTATTGGAGAACCCTAAGAGCGTGCAGCTTAGAGAATGGATGGATGTAGCTGGCTTTGTCCCCGGAGATCAGATGCGCTCTTGCACATGGGACAAGATGAAGAGTGATCTTGACCGCGAGCTGGACAAGGCTCAGGCTGGTGGCTGGCTTTCCCGATTTAAGGACGAAGATGAGCGCATCGATGCGATTAAGGAGGGAATAGACCAGGTTATTGCTGAATGCGAGCAGCTTGATGACCTTTTGACGCTGTACAGCGCTGGTCTCGGCGTAAGTATTTCATTTTTGGAGCGGCGTCTCGCAGACGAGGAGCCATGGCTAACGATCTACTTTAGACCATCACTGGAGATATCGATTACTTGGAGGCGCAAGCTGAGGGTATTCAGGTTCAGGTTGCGAATCAGAAAGCCCTCCAGAACGAACTCCGAATGCTCACAGACACATGCGCCCTGGATAGAGACTGGAATGTGGAGCCTCTGCGACGGGCGCCGCTAGAAAAGGTCAACGGCCTCGCAGATATCGAGGAGAGCCTCCTTCGACTTTACAAGACAATGCGGAAGATTGACCCATCCCTCTGCGGGTACGACGGCAAAGACAAGTCGGGCGGCATGGGCTCTGACCTTGGCGCCCTGGCGGACGATCTAGAACTCGCGGCTGCCTTGGGGCTCGACGCCGATCCTACAAGCGGCCTGACGAGTAGCTACGGAAGGATGCGCATCGTTCAAGAGAAGAAAGAGGTCTGCTTACAAGAGAGCAACATATTTATTAATCGATTCCTTCGGCAGATGGAAACGGAATTCGACGTTGCCTTTGCAAGCACGAGAAATATGCTGGAGCGGGCACTCTCCCGCAAGTCCGATAAGGAAATCTACCAGACTCACCGACGATACCTTTGGAAATACTGCAGCCTCACGTTATATGCCCGAGACATTCATCTCGATGGCTGGGAAACTTTGCTGCAAAAGTATCACGAGCAAGGAAACCCACTATTCAGGCCCTTCTTTGGTGGCATAATCGAGTCCTGGAAGGGTTATGCCAAGAAGGCGACCGGCGAGGAGGCCGAGCTGCTGTTCACCCACCAGCCAGAGAAGCAACACGAGGGCCTAGCTACTGCGGCACGAAAGCTGACGGTGAAGCGTAGTCAAACTCTGGCCGGTCGCTTCAGGTCTGACGCAGTCAAAAATATCGTAGCTGACAAGAGCACCGATAACAAGAGCCAGTCGTACGAAGTGTTCCGAAATGTCCTGGATGATATTATTCCCTTAGTCGAGATGGAGCACAATTTCGTCATCGACTTCTTCCACGCGACGACTCTTGAGCAGATCAGCTTCGAAGATTATCTCGCGGCGAATCCTCCTGTACAAGACCGCAAGGCTCCCGACCACGAATGGCTAGGGTTCCGTCGCATGGAGCCGGACCGCGAAATGGCACGCAGAGTGACGAAGACTATGGAGGGCATGTTCTCGTTCCTTGAGGGAGACTTGCAGAAGCTCGTCGATTGGGTCGTTTTCAACAATCCACTGTAAGTTACAAGCAAACACGTCCCATGTTCTCTGATCTTGAGAGAGCAGCCGCTAACCTATCCTCATAGTCACGCAATCGGCGTATTGGCATCCCTTGAAATTAAGGCAGAGTCCCTGAGTGGTTCGAACCAGGAATTCCTCAACGCCCTTCTCCAGAAGATCCGATCCGCCCTCGAGGCCCGATTTAGGAAGTTTGTCGACGAGCAAGTTCGCGCCATCGAGGAGACAAAGGTCAAGATGGTCAAGAAGCGACGAGGTGTCATCCACTTCTTCAGAGTGTTCCCTCACTTTGCCGTGGCCGTTGAGAACATCATGGCCGCATTCCAATCTGGCGCTATCGACGTTCGGCATATGGTCAATGAAGAGTACAGCCGCGTTCTGAAGGCCATGTTCGACGCGCTCAAGGTCATCGCGAGGGAGAGCAAGGGTGTTGGAGTGTCCGCCAGCACCAACGACCCCGAGGACAAGGAAGCCCTCAACTACCATATTCTCCTGATCGAGAACCTGAGCTACTTTATCGAGGAGATGGGCGACCACGACGTAGACGTCCTCGCGGATAGAAAACACGAGGCGCTGCAAGAGTACAACAAGCACCTGGACCAGTACCTGTCGTCCATCATGCGTCGACCCCTCGGCAAGCTCCTCGATTACCTCGAAAATGTCGAGGCGCAGCTCCAGGCCCTCAAGGCACCCGACAAGATTGCTCTTCAGCCATCCAATTCCAAGAGCGTCTTCAACAAGGTCCTCAGCGTGTACGACGCCAAGGAAGTACGGAAGGGTATCGAGGCCCTGAGGAAGCGCGTCGAGAAACACTTTGGTGAGGCGGACGAACCTGGGGTTGGCGGCGGAAAGGAGCTCGTGGACAAGGTTACGGAGGAGTGTGAGAAGTACTATGGGAAGGTGGAGTTACGAATTGCGACGATTACGGCTGAAGTATACGGTGGGGATGTCTTGTTCGAGTGGCCACGGGCGGAGGTTAGGAGTGCATTTGCTGCAAGGTGAAAGGGTGGAGGGATATGATGGATGCGGTCTTGCTAGGAAATAGAGAGAGACGGTGGATGTGTGTATCATTCTTGTTTTGTCTTAAATGGTTGCGAAGTTTTTCGAGGTTTATATGAAGGGATGCATTTGTATATGTGGCACAAGAATCATATTGAACATGTGAGGTGCGTAACCATTTTGATATATTGGACGATATAACGCTCTTTCCGAGTTTTTGGCGGTTGGCCGTGTATGTGTTATATTTGAGTTTTTCGTTCTAGATTCTCAACGTCTCATGGAAGCTCAAGTGGTCGAGCGGTGACGCACTGCTTGTAGACTACTTCCGCAAGGCGCGGGCGCGGAACCCGGTCTGGTCAAACCATGAGACTTGGAGGAAACTGGGGAAGGGAAATTGGGTATTGGGGAGGGAGAAGTGAGTCTTTTTTTTTTTTTTTTTTTTTGGGGGGGGGGGGGGGGGGGGGCTAGATTATTTTAGTTATATTGGAGGATTTTATTTTATTTCTTCTCTGGGAAAGAATTCTTGTTTGCTTGCCTCTGTTGAGGTTGTGCTACGTCGAGACTTGGTGATGTCCTGATTGGGTTGAGGTCGAGGAAGCTTGGAGAGCTTGTTGGTTCGAAACTAATAAGGGACTTCTCATCGTTTCTTTTTTTGCCCAGGTGTCGGTTGGAACACTAATATAGCGATTGTTGCATATTTCGATTTGGTGTACCCCAGTAGTGTATAAACATAATTATCAGGCAGCATGCTTTGAGACGACGTATTGGAATTGCGATGGAGGACCCGATGTAGCAAATATCAAGTAGGATCAATACCTCTTTCCCGCCGAGCTTTGCGATTCCACATCGATACACCTTCCCATCACCGTGTTTTGTCATCGTCGCTTCTGGCGCTGGTTACCTCCCTCCATTTTATCGAATCTAGCTACGGCCTCCTTGTGATCGAAAGCCTTTTTATCTAGAGAAATAGTGAATGATTATGTATAACAAACGATGCGACTTGGCCCGAGGTGACCGATGGCTTAGAGAAACTCACAGCCACCTTGACTACGGTCCTGGGCATTATCAATATGAGTTGGCTGAGTACCTTTGGTCCATCCAGCGTGGGATGACGACCTAAATCCAAAGGGCCCTTATACCCTACAACAGATCCAAGTAATCCTTCACCAAAACCTGGGGAAACTGGCCTAGGTCGTTTATTGGTTGGTTACATACACATTGCTGAACGGGAAGGGATTCGTTGGAAGATATCTTGCTTTTCTGGAGAGCCCATTCATATATGGAATTATTCTGCAATAGAGGCCACAAGCCCTGCATTTACCTCGTGATCAAGCACTGCCACAGAGCCATCTGGCCTGACTGAGCTGAAGGCCGACTTGGACTTATTGGCAGTGAGATCCAGATCAGTAGTTGCGATAGAATCAATACCCCATTGCCTAATTTCAAGTCGCAATGGAAAGCCATTCACACAACCAGGCGGTCGACCTCGAAAGCTCTGTCCCAGTGTTCAAGTTGTTCAACAGAAGTAAGTACAACCAAGAAAATCCCCGCCCATAGCAGATGGCGCGAATTTTATGAGTTCTCGTCTTGCAAAATCGACAAAAGAACAGTTCTTAGCTTAGTAGTTATCCCTATCATTGTTGAGCCTCTATTGAACATAGGAGTAGGAAGGGAGCCACCTGTCAAGTCCATCCGACGACGACGACGACAACAACGACGACGACAAATGTGCTCTTTTTGCAACAAATGGATCGAATCCCTAGAGGACCTACAACTAACCTCTCCGGTGCTCGATCGGAGCCAGTATCACATCATCAATGTCTCCAAATATTACAGGCTGTCTCCAGACCAAAACTGCGAAATTTGCTACCTTCTTCTTAGGCATAAATTTACGCCGTCGCAGTTTGGGCTGTGCGATCGGTTCGGTGGCTCAGACAGTATTGTTGTGACCCACCCCGAGAACATCTGCGCCGATATATTTGACCCAGTTATGAAGCGCGGAGTATTGACAGCCACGATGAAGGACAAACCTTGGGCGGTGTTTTTGATCCCAAATGGCTACTTCGACGCTGGCAAGGGTGTGAGTTGCCCCTGCTCTCGTGAGGCACACAACACACCAGCGTCCCGAAACTCCCTTTCTGGCTTCACAATTACCGCGGGTATGATTTTCTTGAGACAAGTCAGTACATATCATACAAAACGCGATACCGATCTTACGAATTCTTTTTATTCCCGCTACAAATTCCTCAAAATTGCACGCCCTTCGAGGCCATTTGCACCTATCGGGCGCGGATTATCAACGGGACTCATGGATCGCCTAAACCGCTGGATTAGCGATTGTAAGTCGGACCATACTTTGTGTAAAGAGGAGCGGTATCCCACTTTGTCTCTTAGGTTGATTGACTGCTACTCTGGCAGAATCGTCGAGCGTCAATCTAATCAAAGGTTCATTGCCCTTAGTTACGTTTGGGGTCAGGTGTTGGTAGAACCTTTGAGCAAGGGAGCGCTACCGACCGGCATTCCAAATGTTATCAGGGACGCAATTACCTTGGCAAGGAAATTGCGCTACCGGTACCTTTGGGTAGACCAATATTGCATTGATCAGGACGACCAGCAGATGAAGCACGATCAAATCTCCAAGATGAATCAGGTTTACCAAGCGGCAGACCTCACAATTGTGGCTGCTGCAGGTGAGGATGCCAATTATGGCTTGCCCGGAGTCGGTTTGAGGGATAGGATGGTAGGGCAAACGACATTGGAAATCACTACTTCGTTGGGCGAGTTTGAACTTACTGCGACGCCAGTCCATCCATACGAAGCGATGTCTAAATCGAGATGGATGCAGCGCGGCTGGACATACCAGGAAAGCTATTTCTCCAAGCGCATTCTGGTATTTACAGACGACCAAGTTTACTACGAGTGCAGATCCTGCTCGAGCTGCGAATCTCTCGACTTCGAGTTCAAGGCTGGCTGGTTTTCAGCCTGGCTAGACTCGAGACCCCGCATCTTTCTTCCCTCAGGCCCGTACATCAACTCTACGGGCGAGACAAGGCTAAACCAGCATCCGCCAATCTCTAAATTTCTGTCGAACATGGAGAAGTATACGTCTAGGGCCCTCACTTTCGAAGAGGACTCGCTGAATGCTTTCGGGGGCATCATCGAGGAGTTCTCGAGGAGCTCACCTTGTAGGGGCTTGACCACCTTGGAGGAGAAGATGTTCCGTCTCCGCTCCGGTGGGAACATTGACGACATATCCCAAAGGATACTTCAAAGAAACTCCAGCCAAGTCCCGGGCCAGTGCTTCTCGATTTGGGGTATCCCGTTCAAAACAAGGGGCTTCCAAAGCAATTTCCTAGATATGGACCTGATGTCAGTCCTCGGAATCTCCTGGCATCATTGTAATTCCAGTTTGAATTTTGCAAGTCGATCCGGACCAAAAACTTGCGCAAGACGCCGGTCAGCATTCCCGTCATGGTCGTGGGCTGGGTGGGAAGGCTCAGTGGTATATCCGTGGAAAGATGACTATCAGATCGGTCAGGGAATCGCCTCCGAAGAATGTATCTTTAATGTCCTCGTCGACGGCTTGACATTTTTGGATAATCAGGTCCTCACGGTCGCGGAGAGAAGTGTGAAAGCGTACCCAGATCCAAGTGCTGGGTCATTACCACGAGTCGATTCGGTGTTTGGCATCCACAGTCCCAAATTCCGCATCATCTCTTTCAACGCATGGGTTGTTCCCGCCAAAAAGATACGATTCAAGGAAAGCATCCAAGAAGCGATCGAGTGGTACGTGGGCTCTCGAAAGGCAGACATCCACCTCAGCACACCGGCTCGCTCAGCAGTCGAGATGCTAAGGCAGCTTCGGTCTGGGCAGTTAATGGTTATTCCGCTGTTCGAGCGGCGACTTGACCTTAAAGGCCAAAAGGCTGAGATACTAGACCAGCTTTTGGTGCTTGATGAGGATCAGCGCCAGGACTTTTGCGTTCTTTTGGCTCTTCATTGGAACCCTGACACGAAGGCGTGGACGAGAGCAGGCGTCATTCATATTCCTCTGGGCATCGAGTCTTCCGTGGATATTTGCAGAGAGTTGTCGTGTGGTCAGTTCCGAGTGCGAGTTAATATCGAGTAAGGAGCCTTGAGAATGCCAGCTTAATTAAAAAGCTCTAGTAATATCATCAGTCGGCTATACCCTATAATTTAGGACTTGGGGCTGGCCAACAGAGGAAGGCATGCGTATTCTGATGTTTTGGGGTAGTGCCGAAAATAACACCCACCTACTAGCTAAAAACGGCGCCTAATGTTATGGTGGAAATACGCGTGATTGGTTTGTACGTAGCACCACTTAACGCGTCCGTCACGTCTGGCATCAATCGCCCGATGATGTGATAAGACTTCCTGGACATCCCTCGAACAAGTCTGGAGACATTCAACTCGACCAAACCCCAACCCGAATGTTTCCCATTCCATAAGCGGTGAATTATCAACGACACAAACTACCACAGCATGCCGCCCCAAACGCGTAGCAAGGGACAGCCTCCCGCGTCTCGAGTCTACTCCTCAACCCCCTCCCTCCAACAAGTCCGGTTCCCGCCCCGACGCAAAGCTATAAAAACCTACGGCAAGCGAACGAGACGCGAAGCTACCCTTCGGCAGCAGACGATCACACAGATTGATTTCCTCCAACCCATCCACCCAGAGGAGCTGGACGAGCTCGAGGGCAATTCTGAGCTAAGCATGGAGCCGGTATTGGAAGAGGAGGAGGAGAAGAAGAGAAAAAAGAAGAGGAGGAAGACGGAGGGGGATGAGCCGGATGATGGACCCCCTACTTCGAGTTTATTTACGCAGACATTGACGCAGTTTTATGGAGATGATGGCGTGAAGAAAGGGGGAAAAGGTCGTAGCCGGACGATTAAGGATTCTGAGGACGAGGACGAGGGCTTTGAAGCAGTCTTCGCTGTTGGAAAGAGAACCCGCTTTAAGGATTTCGAGGACGAGACTCCCGAGGAGCGACAAGACACGAAGAGCCCGTCGGTGATCCCACAAACGCCATTAAAGAAACAGACGAGACTCGAGATCCCGTCATCGCAGCCATCTCCATGCACGCCCATGCTTCTTCGATATAGTCCTCTAGGACCCAGAGGCTCTCCACTCAAAGCTCGATCAACAAATGTTGGTTCCCCGTTACCACCCGCCCGGCGGATGGAGAAGGGGAGAATCCCGCGGACGCTTGTTATACAGGACTCCTTTGCATCGGCGGTGACAATTTCTTCTGGACCTTCGCAGTCTTCTAATAGGGCCGTCAAGGGTTGCGATAGCAGCAGCCAAAGAATTCCGAGCAGTCAGACTAGGATCCCTACTGTTGAAGAGGAGGAAGAGACCCCTAGCGAGGAGTACGGCGATGAGAACGAGCCGCCGGAAAGCCAGCAAGAACAACAAGAACAGCAGGAACGCCGAAGGCCTACTGTTATTCCCGACTCAGACGATGAGACGGAGGACGACTACCATGGTGATCAGACGGAGGATGATGATTTGTCTGGCGAAAAGACTGAAGTTCTCCGATCGAGAGAAGAGGTGGAAACGGATCGTGTCGCTAGTTCTATCGAAGGAGAGCGAGTGCAGGAAGACGAAGACCAATACCCGATTGGCGAAGAAACGCAATTTGCGCTAGACATACTCGCATCAGGAACTGATTTGACGGCGTCCCCGAGTCAGCAGCGGTCTAGTCGTCTGAGCCATCAGCGGAGCTCGCAGAAATTAAGAGAAGCTGCGGAGTCGACTCCGAAGCCACCGCGTAAGAAGCCAACCGCCGTGGGATTCTCGTCGCCACAGTTTTGCCCCGAGGAGGAGGACCGGCATGCAGCACAGCACAAGACCCAGGTTTACACCCAGATGAACAGCCAGCGTGTCGATATTGCAATTATTCGCGCTATGCCTCCGCCCACAGATCGGTCTGACATTTTTATTTCCATCCACCCCGAACACGTGGCCAAGATTGTCAACGGCACGAAGGACCATGAGTTCAGGACTTGGAAGATTCCGAGCACGGTTTCTCGAATCTGGATCTACGTTACAAAGCCGGAGTCCATGCTTCGCTATATGGCCTGCATCGGGCCGGCGAAGACGCCTGGTGAGATTGAAGACGAAACTGGAGTCGGCAACGCGGAGTTCAACAAGGGAAAGAAAAGGTCGGGCTACGCCTACGAGATTGTAGAACTTTACGAGCTCAACAACCCTGTTCCTCTTAAGAAGATGAAAAGCAATGGATGGGTTGATGCCGCGCCCCAAAAGTACACTTACGTGCCCCCCGCAGTCGTATCGCAGCTCCAGGCAAACCTCCGCTGCCAGCTACTCCTTGACGACGATGGCCACCATCTTCTTGGAGACGGGGAGGAGCTGGACTCGCCAACCAAACAGTCCGCTACGCTCTCTCAGGAAGCGGGGGAGGTTGAGGCTCAGCTACTAAGTGACATTGCCTACTCAACACAGCATCCCACATCGGACGATCGTGGACCCTTGGGGTCGAGTCAGAAGACGCCACGTCCGCTTCGACGCTCGACTCGACAGAGTCGAAAGACACCTCCAGCACAACCTGCGAAAACAGCCGCGCCTCTCTCGGGAAGCAAACACCGTCGAGACGGACGGAAAATCCCCTCATCTCAGGCCACCACCGCCAGCGAGTCGTCTCCACCACCGCGTTCGCAGAAGCAGCAGCACCCGGGGCTCACGCAGCAGCCGACACATGTGGGCTCGAGTCCGTTGGCCTTCCATGATAGCGGAAGCCCCGTGAGGGTTCCCGAGGGGGATTTCGACCTGAGGACATCGCAGCTTTTAGGGGCTAGTCAGTTGTTACCGGAGACGTTGATGCGTGATGATGAGAGTGGACCGCCGGCTGGTTACGACTTTGGGGATGATGACTTGTAGACGGATGCCAAATTATGTTTATATGAGTCCGCCTGGGGCGGGGATTCGGGTTGCGGGACAAGCAAAATGATAAATTGAAAAAGAAGGAAGGAAGATGAAAGGAAAACGAAACCGAGGGATTATTTTATGGGAAGAATAATAGTATGGTTGGTGTAGGGAACATGTTACCGAATAGGCAGAAATGAAGTCATGACTTTTGCATTTCAATAGTCTCTTACAGGCAGAGAGGGGAGAGAGCACGCCTCTGATAACACTTCTCCCAGTTTCGTTTCTTTTTCTTGTTCTCTTTCCCCCCTTCACGTTGTCTTCTTTTGCCGCCCAATATTCTAATGTAGCTTGTTCATAGAGACGCCACAAAACGTCGTCTATCATCATCATCATCCTGGACCGACGATGCATGTGGCACTGGAGGTTGCCCCCTCTCGATGACACGCTGCCGCTTCTGTGCCCTGCTTTACGAAGTACCGATGTCTCTATACATAGAGCATCAAAGAGAAATCGGAAAGAGACGGAAAAATGAAATGATAAAACTGAAAGATGGCAAAAAAAAAAAAAAAAAAAAAAAAAAAAAAAAA